AGCTATTATTTCGCTCAGTTCCAGCTGTAGTTCTTACTCTTGAAACGAGTGAAGTGTCCGCCGTTTTTGCTTTCACAACCAAAACAACTCAACCTCGTCCTCAGGTCTTCTCGGTTAACGGTTCATTAACCTGTAGCGGGCTTCATTTTTGACGTCATTTCCTCGTTAAACACAAAATTCTTCCAAATTTGGTCATCAGTAGCTGGTTATGGTTAATTATGCGTGTGCTTTTAGCCAATCAGAATTGGGGAAATATTTTGAATGAATAGTAATGCCCGGTTAAGCCAATTTTTCCTCACGTTCATTGTGTTAGCAGTCCGTGCATATCACAACAGTGAAATCTTCTTTGTTTGGCAGAGCGAATAATACGCTTCAGTTTGGTCGAAGTTGGTAAGTTACGAAATGTTCTTAGTTAATGAGAATTTCGGGGTTTTTATCACGCGCTGCTCTTTATTCATTCAATTCGTTTTTTTTTAAGTGTAACCCTCTATAGAGGTATTTCCTACGGCATTAAAAAAGACTTTGGTAGTAAATGATCGATTAGACGCCCGGACCCTCCATTAATTTTCGGAGCCAAGGCGAGGGCGTTTAAAAGAGAGATGCGTTTATCATTGGTTTTTTTTTTTTGTAACTGTAACAAACTCCACGAAACTAAAATGCCTTCGGAGAATATATCACCACGCCGGTTAGATAAATGTGCTTTATTAACCTCAACTTTTGACGTCAGATTCCTAACTTTGAACTTGATGTAGAACAAGATGCGAAGCGCAAACTCTTGCTAATCAGAAAAGAAACTAAATAAAACTGAATGGTTTTTCTCCTTTTTGCTAGTTCCTAGCATTTTGGTGTAAATTGTCATGGGGGGCGACTATAGAACAATTTAGAGGCGTTTATTTATTGAGACTGGGCGTCTATTAGATCATTTACAGTATTATCAGTTTTGCGTGGTAAAACGGCAGCGGTCTTCTTTTATTAACTCACATTTCAACGGTTATGTTTAATTCCGCACTTCCGAGTTTTAATCCGAATTTTGGATCTTAATGCCTTGTTTCTGTTGATCGGATTTTCGATTTGGATATACAACACTTGAAGATTGATCGTTTTTAATTATTGGCGGGCCGGCTGATGCAGGCTGATATCGACCCTTTTTTGTCAATTTACAGTCATCTTATGTTGCCTCTTTTGCATGGATTCATTTACAAGTATTTACAGAGATTTTATGGTGCCTTTTTTTTGGCAATAAGCAAGGCCGGAGTTATGATACCCCCTCTTTGTGTCAATTTACAGATATTAAGAACATTAGAATTACCCGTTTATTTGTTTGTGCCTCGTTTGATTGATCAATTTACAAAGATTTATGATCCCCCGTTTGGGTCAATTTACAGATAATTATGGTGACCCATTTGTCACAATTTACAGGGATTTTTTAATCCACGAGTTGTTTTGCAAATAGAAGATTTACGACCGGGATGTACAAACATTCTAAGCAGATTTTGTTTAAGTCCTCGCTTTATATACTGCTGACAGAATTTTTTCTCTTGACCCGAAGCCATCCAATAAGGCAACTAAATTGTATAAAATGTATGTGAAACGAATATACAAATATTTTTGTATCAAAGCAGGTTGAAGCAGCACGTCTGTAAAATTCTGGATTTCTTGTCTGTAAATGGTTCCAATTTTCCAGTGGGTGTTCACCTCTTGTATTTGAAGTCAAGAGCCATTATGGCTCTTGTTGTGGTCCGTTTCATAACGCAGCAGTGAACTCAATTTGTGCAGCCGACAATTTTTCTTATTGGCAGGACAAATTAGCCTCAATTCGTTTGAAGTTCAAACAATCTTTATTTTAAACCAGTTTTCTTTTACACCCTCTGTTTCACTTAATCCAGTCGTTGTGCAAAAAGAATCTCCCTTTTACAGAGCCAGAAATTTGAAACTGAGTGATGAGATCACCGTCTAATCAACAGTATATGGCTTAGCAGTGATCATGCGATCGCGCAGCACATTGATGTTATCCCTATACCGTTCATTGTGTTAGCAGTACATGGATCCCACGACAGGGAAAGTTTGTGTAGTCCAGAACTCTTTTTTTTGGCAAGACAAATTTATTCAGTTCGTTAGAAGCTGGTAAGTTAAGAATTGTTCTTACTTTATGCGAATTTCGGGTTTTTAACACATTCAACACTCACTCAGCTCCTTATAAAAAAAAACACCTATTCAACTTATTTTTGATGCGTCCTTCTTGAGGGGCATTTTTCACTCTGTCACATCAAAAGGTTGAACGCTTACGATTTGGATACTTTCTAAATGTCCTCAGAAATTTAAATGTCCTTAGAACTTGCGCTCCTTAATTGTATCGATTAAGTTGATGGTGAATTGGCAGTCGTTTGACTTGTAGGCTTGAAGTATTTCCAATCACTTCTTTTTTTTGAAAAACGAAAATGAAAACAGAAATAAAATATGAAAAACACGAAAATAAAACCTTTCTCCTACACGTGGAAATTTTTTGTTGCATTCTAACATTTTCGTATTTTATACGTCCCCCGTATAAGTTCATGACTACGTACTACATTTAGATCCAATGTTTTTCTTTTAGCCTTCTCTGATGTCTGATCCTTAATTTAGCTTAATTTGGAGACAACAATCGGAGACCAGTATCTTATTTCTAACCTGTTTTTGTTAATTTACAGCTAATTTATCGTATCCCGGGTTTTGGAGTTTTAGCAGTCCATTTACAGAGATTTTATAGTACCCCTTTTGTGTCACTTTACAGAGAGTTAGAACCTTATAAAATGACGCTTTTTGCGTCAATTTACAGATACATGGTTCCCCATTTGATTCAGTTCAATTAAAGATTAATAATCTCCCGTTTAGATCAATTTAAAGACAATTATGGTACCCCATTTTCACCAACTGGCAGATATTCGGGAATGCGAGACGGTCCTGAATGTTTTATTTAAATTGATTGGAACAAAAGAAAACGCTTGCATAAGAAAAGAGTTCAACTCGCACAGGATTTGTTCGGAACACCATCATGGCCGCCGTTTCATTGTTTTTAAACACCAATATGACCGTCGTGACGTCATGTGAAAACGCTCTAGACCTTTTATCTAGGGTTACCCGTTCTGCCGGGCAGGGCCCCGTAGGGGGTCCCGTGTCGGTTGGCTGAATTTTCAGTAAAATGTCCTGTTTCGGTGGTAAGTTAATGCTTGGCGTCGCTGTCGGAATTGTGTACGATAGATTCTGCCCTATTTGTAGCTCTGGTATAATTGGAGACGAATTTCATTTTCTCCTCCATTGTTCAAAATATTCAATCCCAAGGGAGACACAATTTTGTCGACTTTAATCAGCTATCTTACACAGAATTAATAATTAAATTGATGAATTCACAGAATTTTTCCGTAAATTCACATTTTTTGAAATTTGACTCATTATGTAATGATTTACGTACTAATTTGTTATCAAATGATGCTGATGACACTTGATTGACTATAGTAATCATTGCATTGCATTGTCATTGTTATAAATTGTAACTTTATGTTTCAGTGTTTGCAATACTGTAACTACATAATTATAGTCATGCAAATAAAGCTTATGTTGCTGTTGTTGTCATAGGAAACGCCCACAGTTCCGAAAATGATAGCTATCATTTCGCTTTTTCCTGGTCTTTAAGTGTGCTGACAAATATGTCAAACCAACTTCCTTTGTCGGTTGTTCTCAGTTTTTACTTAACTTTCGGAACTTTGACAAGGCGTTTTTCTGATCTACGGCTCTTAGTTCCAGTTGAGTTATGAACACTTTGATGACATTTCTATCGTCTGTAAGATGAGTTACCTGTTTTTTAAATGGGGCTTTACTGAAGAGGTACCTATAGACAATATCTGTATTCCCCGACGGTCCGAGTAGGCTAATGCGGGGAACTTCTTGCCGAGAACACAAATAAACATTGGGAAAATAAAAAACAAAACTGTGGGAAGAGCCGGTCGTACTAACAATAAAGTTTAAAAAGCCACGAAGCCAAAACAGGAAGCGACTGGAAGTAATCTAGAATCGAAAATGGCCGGTAAATTGTGTCAAAATATCAATATTCGAATCCTTTTAATTTCTCATTTCTTATTCTTCTTTATTACCTGTGTGTTTATCTGTAAAATGGAATTTAAACTGCTCATTATTATCATCTGTACAAAAGTCCGAGTTCGACTTCTTGTCGAGTAAAATGCGCATGCTTTTGTCATGTTTTGTACTCAGTTGTGAGAAATTATTTTGTTAAATAATGTTTATGAATAAACTTTACTTTTCAAGTCATCGTCGAGTGTTCAAATTGATTTAACTTCTTAACATAAATGCAAGGACTGGCGTGCAGAACGCTGAGCCCTGTCCTGGCAGAAATTATCCACCGACCGTATTTGTTCGGTTTTTTTTCAAAACACGCAAGATTTTGTATCCACTCCGTTAGAAAATGTCAGGAACAAAGTAGGTGTTTGTACTTTCTTGTAGGCTTTCGACAAGTACGTCCATTTCAATAAATGATATCTTTCGAAAAGAATTAAGATAAAAAAATTCCTCAGGGATTTTGAGACCATCTTAGCGTTTCTTACAAAATCGCTCACAAACCACTCCAATATCTGGTTAGGCGTGCTGTTTTTCTCAGCAATGACGAGCAGGTCTTTCTTTTACTCTTTAAAATAATGATTTCTTAAGCCTGTAAGCTCTCCGGAATTTTCCAATGTTAAACATTTTCCTTGTTTTCCGACAACTCAGCCGTAGTTTTCTCGTGTTTTTTTGTCCTCTTAGTGAGAAGTTCCCCGTATTAGCCTTGCATTCATGCTCAAGACCTACTCGTCCTAGGATCGTCGGGGAATACGAATATTGTCTATTAAAAGATTAGTAAATGAAGGGGTAAGGGATAAGCTCTGGGCGGGGAATCCCCATGTAAAACCTTTTCAGTACTCCTCTGCCTTCCTCGGCCTTAATTTACTTCTTTTATTGGTCTCAGCAGGAACATGAAGCACATGCTCGCATTGGGTGTCATTTTTACCGCCAGCGTGGCAAATGCTTTGTATCTCGCTGATTGTGACCAGGGCGTCAATTGCGATTGTCCAGCAGATCTAAAAGGCCAACTTAAGATCTACAGGGGGAAAATATTTGTCTGTACCGGAAGTAGATGGAGTCTATACGGAAATTATGGGGACAAGTCTCATCCGGGTTCTTCCTGCAAAGATATTAAGGATCGCAAAGGAGAAGAAAGCGCAAATGGGATCTACTGGATCAAACTAAAGGGTAGAACTCAGATCTTGAGCTGAGAGTTAAGTTCAGAACCAAGTACCGTAAATCCTCTATTAAGCCCCCTGGGGGCTTATTTATTTCAAACACATTTGAGGGGAGGGGGCAGGGTTAATAGAGGATTTAACGTAGTTTAAAAGTTGGATAGCGCTATCGGCCGGATAAATGGCTATGAAGTGAATAAGTGCTAGGGAAACCAATTTCCTACTCCAGAGACTGTAAGGGGAATGGGTACAAGCTTTCGGCGCAACGATTTCCGGGAACGTTTGGCTGGACAAGCGTTACTTATGATTGGTTAATAGTTGCCTTGAAGACCATCGACCAATCATAACTAACACTTGTCCACCCAAAAGGACAAGAAGCGACCCCGAAATCATTGTACCAAAAGCATACACCCATCCCCGTTATAGCTTCTGTAAGAGTTATAGTTTCTGGGAGATCTATCATTTGGACAGTGCTATCTACCTTTGAATATTTGGGGACTGAACGAAACAGGCCAATGAGAACTATATTGTCACTGTAGTTAAATATCGTATAATTTGTTATTCATTGACGTTTATCACTTCAAAAACTTAAATTCAACGCAAATAGTGAGGGGAACGGGCTTCCATTAAAAACCAAACGAGTTAAACTTTGAAATTGCACTCAAGTTCTTTCTTTTTGTAAGTTTGATATCGCCTTGTTAGAGAATATCAGTAATCCAGACCCTGACATAAGGAGGGGGGGCAGTCTCCGAAAAAATTTTTTTCGGCCCTTTGGGCCTCAGTTTGGTCTAAAAATAAGGGGGGCGCCCCCCCGGGCCTCTCCTCTGGATCCGCCACTGGTATGTTTTCTTCAATGACGACAAAATTCGCCTTGATGTAAGGGAATCTAAGATAGTCTTAGATTCTGGATTTTATATCGTGGATTCGGATTGCAGGTGTTGGACTCCAGATCTTTGTCAGTGGACGTTGGATTCCGGAATTCCAATCTTAAGGGGGATTCCAGATTTCTAGAGCTGTATTCCGAATTCCAAAGCCCAGGATTGCGGATTCCACAAGCAAACTGAAAACTTCCGGAATTCCGGAGTCCGGATTCCCTTACATTGGGTGACAAAGATATATTCATGTCACTTTTGCGAATTAAGGCTTGCCAGACTAGTCATTATGGAATGTGAACTCTACTATTAACCAGAACTGTTCAACCTAATCAGTATATTCCTATATGAAGCACGCACGGAAGTGATGGGTTTGTCGAGAAAAGTTTCAAAAAAACCCCAATTTATTGTCACGAAAAATGCCGCAGTTTGGCACTTCTGACTTTTGGTATTAAGCACCCTTTTTAAAAGTCCCTTGAATTTCATTGACACAAACCTGATTAAAGCTAATTTTCAAGTATTGCTTTTTCACAGGTCAAGACGAGGCTTTCCCAGTTTACTGCGATATGGACAACGGAGGCGAGTGACTGATACAGTTGTTTTAGTTTTTTTTCACTCGTTTCAATTAGCAAATTCATGTTATTTTTGGTTTATGTATGAACCGCCCGGCCCCACCGTGGGGCATTTGCAGCTTTTCCAAAACCAATGACAAATGCCCGACAAATGCTCCAAGGCGGGGGAAGGGGGGTGGGGGGGGGAGGATGCGGACGTACGCTTGGAATTGTGACTGACCCATAAAGCATAAGTAACTTCACATTCTGTCATGCGACATAACATTCATTCCCATTTCCGCTTTCATTTTTACAGGCTGGACAATGGTGTTTAAGGCTGTGACCAGAAAGGGAAATGTCTATGAATTTTACACCTCTAATAGAACTTACTCCGAGGATGTGAAGTACGCTCTTGATGTGACTAAAAAGCACCCCCATCACTACAAGAACAGAATAGTTTTAAACTGGGAAGATTTTAAACCATCCGAGGTAATTTCTTTGGGCTTGTCCCCTACCCATTCGAATAACACACTTAGAACTACACCTCCCCTGAATACTTGTACCCTGTTTCCCTTTAGGCCTCTTATTTATAGAGGAATGACGTCCCAAGCAGAAGAGTCACTCGCCTACTCGAGCTACCCTGGGCGAGCAAACGTTTCATATGCCTTTCCTTACAAAACGTAGCGAGCCGATTACATAAAAAAACATAAAAATTGGCTCGGTTAGCCAGTCAACCTTTTACGATGACAGGGAAACCATCCCTAGCTGGGCCAACTTTTCTCCATGTAAACACTAGCCCAGTCGGATCATCAGGGTCAAGGCGCAGAGACAATCAGAGCATGCGCGAGTTTTGTTAGCTTGGGCGAAGGAGTCAACTTTCATCTCGTACGCTCGCTAAAATTGACTCGGCTGGAAGGGTGTCCCTCTACACCGTAATTTTAACGAGTTATTATAACTCCAAAAATAGAGTAAAAATTTTAGGTACAGGATAACCCTTTTTTTGGGTTATTTCAACTCCTAATTTAACTCCTAATCTGGGTCACTTTTATTCCTGAAAAAGAGTTATTTTTACTCCCAGTCTGGAGTTAAAATAACTCCGAAATGGGGTTACTTTAACTCCTCAGATGGGTTGTTTTTACTCTTTTTGGAGTTAATTTAACTCTGAAAGTGGAGTATAAATTTTAGGTACAGGATATTTCCTTTTTTAGGGTTATTTTAACTCCTCAATATCTGGGGTCACTTTTACTCCCGAAAAAGAGTTCTTTAAACTCCTTTTTGGAGTTAAAATAACTCCCCCAAAAATAACTCCACTGTAAGGAGTTAAATTAGCCCCACTAGAGGAGTTATTATAACTCCTTGAACATTACTGTGTACCCGGGATAGGTTTTCTCCATATAAACGAGGAAACGTACAAAAACGTGTTCTGCACCACACGCAAATCTCAATTTTATCAAGTTGCATGACTAACTGATTTGTTTGTGATTTTGAAAGGCTAGAGTTGCTCTCTATACAAGCGGAGAGCTACAAAAGGAGTTGAAATTCAACGCTACAGGATCGAACAACCGCAACTGGTTCTCTTGCTCGGCTCTGACTCAGAGCTCCTGGTTTGACATTCCAACTGAGCATCACAACTACTTTTCCATCTATGGATCAGTGCACAGTCCACATGATAAACGTCACTTCTTTATCAACCGGAATTATCACGGTTGTCCCAAAGATGCAGGATGGATGGTGATAACTGAACTGGAGCACTGCGATTGGGAGAAGAATAAGAAGAACGCCATACTGTACAGCAAGCTTCCGGTTTATACAAACTGGAACATACATAGTGAGTAACAACTTTAAAATGGACAACAATAAACGTTTCCCGTCTCAACCAACATTTACCCCAACTCTACTCTCTTGTTTTCTGCCTTTTGATTACTACTAGTATCAACAACAGGAGGGGGGTGGGTGCTCAACAAAGTTTTATACGGCAAGGCTCCGCCCGGCTCGAGGTCCAACCTCTTACCCTTTTATAGTAAAATCCAACTAGTGGTCTATTATCAATGCTGCGTTCAGATTGGTTGAGCTACTACTAGGCTATATGTTATAGCCCACTAGTAGAGAAAAAAGCGGGCTTTTTGGCGGCAAAAAAAGAATTAATGTCTAGCTTTAACAAGCTAAAGTTGTTTTGTCTCGATATTTTTGACAAACTTAGTTGGATTTTACTAAAACAATTATTCCTCTCGCCCTCATGGCCTCTGAGTCAATAGCCCATTCGGCCTTCGGCCTCATGGGCTATTGACTCAGTGCCCATTTGGGCTCGAGGAGCTTGTTTAATATACCCACTGCTTTCGTATACCTTCTATTGACAAATGGTATCCCTTTCACATGTCTTGTTTAGACTTTGCATTTCTTTTAACTGCCATAAATGTACTGTCTTTTAAATATGATAAACCAGAACGTTTTCCCGGCTTTTTCACAGCCATAAATGCATCTGTTAGTCCTTTTGGACCTTTTTACAGACCGAAATGACAGATTCCCCTACCCTTTTATATATACTTCAACAAGTGGTATCCCAGTGACTCTATCATATACCTGAAGCCTGAACATGGTACCCCTTTCGGGCGGAACCTCCCCGTATTGGCTATTATAGGGGGTACCCAAAGGCATAACTCATGTGGCTTCTTTGTGGGAACCGACGTTTGAAAAGTAGGCGTCTTTTGTAAATATTAATATTCGAAAGAAATAAGCAAATTTACCAGACTTTTGGTGGTTGTCCTTTTAACAACCATCGCTTATTTTCCACCGGTCTAGTATTTCTTTTCGGCTTTCTTTCTTTTCTCAGAACGACCCTGATTTGGTAATGAGCTCGGCCCTTGCCCAACAGGCAATTTCCGAGTTGAACCAAGCGTCTATTTCAAAGCTAGGCTAATTACAAAGTCATTAGTGTGAAAATGATTTTTATTCTCATTTGGTAAAACGGATAACCAAAACTTGTTTTGCAAAACTGCTGCAAACTAGTTTTTTTTACCACCCACTGACGTTGAAACCTGTCTTGCAACAAATCAGGTTGTTGCAAATTGCGTGAATACCCATGACTTCTGATTGGATAAAATTACGCGAGAATCACGCTTTACACCGGATTTGCGTCACTTGCGGCAAGACAAGTTTGCCTTAGGCTGGTAAAACGCGCGACATGTACAGATTTTGTTACAAAGAGTAAAAGTATTCTCTAGTTTCTGCAACAAGTTTTCGGAACCTCATTTGCTGTAAGACAGGTTTGAACGTAGATGGTAAAATGCGCAACATTGCTTTTCAACTCGTTTTGTAGCAGTGCTGCAAATAAATTACGTTGCACGTTTTTGTTGTCCATTTTTTCGTACCTTTAACCCGAGTTTGAATGTGAGAGTGTTTGAAACTCGGAAATGGCCATAAAACTTGTCAGCCTTGTGGTTACTCTTGTACAGTAAAAAGCCTTTCAGAAAAACTGTTTCAGAGTTCAGATGGTAGTGCGAGGGCGAACAATTGACGAGGAAAAAAACACAGTTTTTTCTTCTCCTTTTCCACGCGTACAATCGCTCCCTACCATCTTGAACGCCGTGCTCTACTAACTGAATGCCTGGAACAGGCTACCTTTCAGGTCTCAACTATGTTCTCGCTGTTTAAACCTTTTATTTCAGAGAATGTCCTAGAGGCAGATGTCTTGGTAGTCTACGTGCGCTGAGCTAGCAAACATGCATCTCTGTTACTAAGGAAGAATTCAGTTGGAGGCTGTAGCTAGATATTTGAGATAGTTATACTTAATCAAAACGTTTACTTGAGCCTCGATTATTAAAAGTTAATAAAGCATTTCAAAAGCAGAAAAGGCCTAATTTTTACTTCATTCGCTTTATCTTCCCAAACAAAACGGCAATTATGACATATATAAAGATATTAATGCTAATACGCGTAGTGTCAAGAACGCTTTCTTGCCAGTAATTTGGATCGTGATTTTGTCCATTGCTAGACACTCAATCGCCCTATCATGCCCCACGATGGCATTTGCTGAGGGCTTCTATCAATTACAATTAAAAATCCCATTCCAAAATTGCAATCCTTCTGAGAGATGTAAAACTAGCTTTTAACAAATCGTTTTTTATTTTCATTTCAAATTTTCGTGGATTAGTCACCGGTCTGTCTTTTTGTTCGTACTTACAAAATGCATAAAAAACGAGGCAAAAGCAACGCCGGAGTGTAGCGCGAGACGGGCGTGATGGGTGAACACGTGATCATCGTGGACAGGGCTTCAGTTAAGTCCCCGCATTAGGCTGCGCAACCCCCCCTCTCCCCTTAGAGAAGTCGATAACAAGTGCTTTACTATTACCCTTTAATTTCATTTAAACTATTGTTTGAATCTAATTGCCCATACGCGGCCATGATCCTGCATGACCAAGAAAAGAATAAGCGTCTGTTGGCTTCTGTCTAGTCTAATGACACGCCCAGATCCAATATCTAAAAACAGAATACATGTGGTTACACGGTATTTCACATCATCGAACATCATTCGACTTCTACCCCGCTCCATTGCCTCTATTCTGCGAATGTGGACCTAGTGAATTCATAGAAATGTTCATCTGCTCTGACAGCGAACGCAGTTTTCTTACGACCCCTCGACAAGTTAAAATTGCTGTGAAAGCCTTCCGATAGGGTTGAAGACGCCAAGCGAACACAAAAGGATTTATGCTGGAATTAGCCATGGTTAAAACGTAGTTAAAATCTCTTGCCCAGTGAATGAATATACAGTTACAGGTTCCACAAAAACTTATAACGTAGATCATGACCAGTGAAGGAAAGAAACAGCTAATAAAAAGTACTAACATAATTAGAAAGGTTTTGGTGACCTTCTTCTCCCATTTGATTGTCCTCATCTTCGCGTGATTTTCATTGTCTGGGCCGCTGTGCAGCGAGTCCCAATTCTTAATTTGCTCTTTGAAGTTCTGAAAGACTTTAACGTAAGTCAGGCAAAGTACGGCGAATGTAGACACTACCGCTGTGTTTGCGAAGACGAACTGATACTTCAAATAGCCAACCTTGAAATACAGAAATGGAAACAAAATTGAGATTATCCATAATCCGAGGGAAATCAGTGCAGTTCGACGAGAATTCAGCTTAATTCGGTATTTTATCGGGTAAGTAATAGCAACGAATCGATCCACCGTTAAGGCGGCCAAACTGAACAGTGACGCAGTGCAAGATATGAAATACAAAACACGCCTTGCATGAACTCGAGGAGTGAGCTTCCAAAGACCCAATGCCTCGAGAGTGTAGGCTTCCACGGACATCGGCAGCGCAAAGCAACCAACTATCAAATCTGCGGCAGCTAGATTGGCTACTAAGAAGTTAAAAGGCGAGCAAAGATTGCGATTTGGGTCAATAATGACGGCCAGAAGAACCAGGATATTTCCAGTTATAGCTGTAACCGTTAGTACTCCACAAGCTGTAGCGGAAGTGATACTCAGTGTAGTAGGCGCGGAGACATTCGCGCAGGAATACGATCCAGTAAGAGACATCTTGATCTACTCACTGCGAAACTTTCAATTCAACACACAGTTCGCCAACCAAGTGAAAATTATTTCTCTGCCTTTTGTCGATAAGTTCAGATTTTTCGATACCTCCAAGCGAGTTAGAAAGTAGATTGATTGTGAATATTCGAGAGGGAAACATTTAGCCTCCCGGAAGTTTATGGATCTTAATGTATGCGTATTGCCAAAATTATGCTAACACGTGAAAGTTCCCATGTGCTCACTTGCAAGAACCCCTCAAGAACCGCGCCGAAAAAAACAGAAATAAATAAATAAATAAACAAATAAAGGAAAAGACCTGCCGGTTATTCACAATAGTGGTCACTTGGTTTAATTTTTTTGAGCAGATTGGCCGCTTGTGAGAACTTTTCTTTAGCCGTAGTAACACAGTTCAAACCCTTCAAACGGGGTTTCGCACGTAGAGCTGGTCGCTCGGTTGTGGTCATAACTGGGATGCTTTGAAATAAAGATTTCGTCGAACTAGCCGACTGGTTAAGACGGATCACCTTTCCTCGATCATTCACCCCAATGTTTTTCTAGGTTGAAATTCCACTACCCGCCCCTCCCATAACTTAATCAAAATATCACCCACAAGGCCTTGTGAGCGCAATTTCCCCGGTCATCAAAATAGAAAGCACCGGTGGCCGATGTGGTCGATCTATTTTTCTGATTCAGTAAGAATTAAATTTCTCCAGCATGTCTCAAGTTTGTTCGAATTGCGGTGGTAGTGACATTGATATAGATCAAGCTCGTGGTGATGCTGTGTGCATGGGATGCGGTTCTGTCCTTGAAGACAACATTATTATTTCCGAGGTACAGTTTCAAGAGAACAGTATTGGAGGAGCTAGTGCAATAGGACAGTTCGTCTCGTCAGAGGGTAAGAAATGTTCTTTCAACTATGAACTTTTCAAGAACTCTTTTGGAACTTTTAAGAACTCCTTTGACGAAATTAATAGAGAAACTCGTACATTTAACTTGATGTTTATAGTGTGAGGATAGTACACGTGTATTGAACATCTCTGTTTGATTTTCTTTCTGAAATCATCCATTTTTTACTAATTTTACATCACTGTGTTAGGATAAAAAAGAAGGAAAAGGGAAAAAAAATGATGTCAACAAGGAAATAGGATGTTTACACATAAGTTCGCGAGCATCGTGTAGGGTTTGAACCACGACGTTGCTGTAGGCCAAGGGGCGATTGGCGAAGAAGCAAGATGTGATCTCCATTGCGCCATGCGGATCACGTGACACTTATTGCTCCAATCGATTGTTTTTATCGTGAAGAAAAGGTGGTTGCCCTGTTTCCGTTCACCACAAATTACCACTATAATGATTGTTTATTTTCTCATAAATCCTATGGTATTCTTAATTTATGTGTTTAAGTAATGGTCCGTGTAAGAACTAGGCAAAAGAACAATAGGCTAGTGCAATAGCGGCAGTTATTTTTTAGGTGCTAATTTCTCTAATCAAATTAAATTTGAATGCTCTGATTGGTCAATAGGGCAAAAAGCGCGAAATTTGAATTATAGAAATGAATTAAGATAGTAAAAGAGTCATTCAAACAATTTTTTATTTTGTCTACTGCTCTGATATGTTGAAAACTATAACATATCTAAAATTTAGAGGATTTCTATGTGCCAAACCCAAACAAAGTTAAACTGATATAAAATTACATGAAAATGGCACAGGAATACATCAATCGGCGACCTTCTGAAAGACAGCTACTTCGGCTTTCACAAAGGAAATGTCAAAACTGTGATCGGAAACAGCAGTAATCCAAGCTCACATGGCGAACGCGCCAAAGCCGCGTGGTTTTATTTTGCCACCATAAAGAACAACAATTTCATAAAATCATGTCGGAGGGTTATCCTAATGGCCTGCATTTGAATAAAAAGACGATTGTCCATACAGAAAAAAATTCATGGATGTTCAGAGAATTCGGTTTCAGAAGAAGTTCTCTTGACAGTCTTACATGGTAGATATATTTTTAGTCTAAATATCTCCGCAAAACCTACTTTCATACTTAGAAAAAGTAAAGGAAACAGTTACAGTCAAACTTGCATGATCTTTCGTACCGGGTAACACTCAAAACTAGTGAGAGCTACATTTGTATTATATATGATAACTAAGCGGCTGCCGTCTTACAACTGTTGCGAAATTACAATCACAAATTTCGATTCGTTCGTCTTAAGTTGCACTTAGCTTGACAAAACAGCCTAGATTGAAAACAAATCGAATTATAGAAGAGTAAAGATACACAAAATTCCGAAGTTTCGAAAAGGACAAAATAACTACACAGTCACATCATGCGGTGATGCGATAATTTATTGGGTTCAGCTTACCTCAATAAGCTCAAATCAGGCGGCTTCACATCGCTTTAAGAAATTTAATTTATTTCTGTATAAAGAACAAATCTGTCGCTTCCACTCTTTGTGCCCAGCTAATCTCCACGATTACTCTGAATCATCACTGAATCAAAGCGACCCCCTCCTGACAACATAAACAACTGCTTCGGTCCTATTTGTCCACATGGCCACTCGACGACATGTTGAGGACAGCTGCAAACGCTGCTGCAGTAGGAATTTCACGATCACTCCGATGATAAAATACATTGAATAAAAGCAATAAACAATCGATAAAGGGAAATATGTAGATTTCAGCGATGAAATTGACGACATTTCTTTGGGCAAAAGACAAATTTCCTCACATCTCAAGTATGGCATCCAAGATGGTTCACAACAAGGTCACGCGCGTGTTGCACGTTTTCTGCTCTAACTTTTGATTGGCGCACAGAACAATGCTTAAACTTGGCCATGAGGTAAAAGACAGGAGAATGGGGGAAATAAAGCTCAAAAAAGTTGTTTTTGTCACGTTTTTCTTGGTTTTTTCGTCGATTTTTGGATTTCAGCCAATCAGAACCCACCATTTAATTGAAATTAAAAATTAAAAGTTAACACCTTTTAATCGATTTTGCGTTCTGCCTGCCTAGTTCTTACGTGGACCATTACTTAATTTTCTCTTTTGATATAATAACTTGAATAACTAATTTCAAATCTCAGTAATTGTTATAGTGACTGAAAAGGTTGTACAGTCGACTTCCGGTATTAAACTCGAACCTCCGGCTACCTCAAAGCAATTTTCATTTCCCTTCAGATCGTTTTCTAAATAATTTTACCCTTGATAACTCAAACTCCTGGTAACTCAAACTTTTTTCTATTTCCCTTGAAAGTTCGAATTATTGGGAGTCGGCTGTAGTTATGAACAACAGTATTAAGGGACACAGCTGATTTGCATGTCACAAGATGGGCATGAAACAGAAAGTGAGAAGCGTATCCAGAATGCTCTAAACAAACCTTGTAGAGTTGAACTAGATACATGCTGATTAATCATGATTATAGACCCTAAGCCATATCAGCAAATACTTCCGAATTCGAACTTCAGTAGAGGTGAGAAATTGCACGAAGTCTGAATCATTGTCGAAGGTTCAAAGCCGAGAAAGCTTGATTTTCCAAATAATGTAACCTTTTCCAGCGATTTTCCAAAATTAATATATATAACGATCACGGTATTATAAGATAACGATAACGCTCACCAATGTTACTAATTCATTTCTCTTGTTATCTTGGTAAATGAAGGCAATTTCTCCGGCCTGGTGCCTATGCGTTTCTCACCTCTTCCGTTCATATTCCTTTGAATACTGTTCTTAATGAAATATGACAAAATAATGCTATAGGATGAGTAAAAGTTTGCTCAAAAAGAGGTTTTCAGTTAAAGATCGTGGACTGAATGAAACACTAGGGAGGATTGAAGGGAATTTCTAGATGTATCTGATGCGTAGATTTGATTTTGGGTTGAGGTAAACTTTTTTCAAACTGGCTAAAGAAGTGTCCCTTAGCTGACTGTGTCCCTTTAAATTCTCATGTATTTTTTTATTTATTTACCAGGAAACAAAACAGGTGTTGGACTTGGCTCTGGGTTTCGTCATGGTCTTGGCCAAGAATCAAGAGTGGTGACTCTTGAAAATGGTATTTCATGATTTGTGCTTCTGATTTGTGTTTTTTTTCTCTAACTTTTTAAGACGCTGACCATTTTAATGCTAGTGAGACATTTCAGTCATCCAATTAAACGTACATACAAGCAAATCTTAACGATACCTCAACATTCGCTTTACAAAGAGTCTGATGGAGGTTTTAGGTTCGTTGATGTTCAGAGATCTATGACTGGCAGACATATGTAGCTGATGGAATAAAATGGTACAATCAAAACAGCTGTGACTGAGTGGAGAAAAATTTTGATAACTTGTGTTGAGGTCAAATTAACAGATGTCCATTTTCCTTGACATTAATGCAAAGAAAGTTTCACTTTTCTTATTTGCATTTCTATTTTTCAAATTATATTCATTTGTTTCCTTTCAAGATTATAAGTCTTGCCTACATAAAATTCTACAAGTGTATTTCTTGCTCCTCTCTTCCTCTGAAATCCCAAGTTAATCCCACCCCAGTAAAAATGTAGGTGTGAGCAAACTGTGATCACAAAGCGTGATCACCAGTAAAATTTTTTATGTGTGGTCACATCCTTGTAATGGAGTAAACCATGATATGATCTAATCATGAAAAGACAGCTATGTAATAAATTGGATCAGAAAGGCTTGATCAAGTCCAGAATAAATTCATGATCATGGACACTATGAAACACTGCAGATGAAGCAAAAATATACCTCTTCGAAAAAAATTAAGGCACCAAAAATAAAGTTTATTTAATATTATTATTATAATGTTATAAGTAAAACTAAAGCGCTTAAATTGCAGTATCGGGGTTGTCACTAAAATTTCAAGTTGCCTGGTAAAATAATACAACAAGTAGGTGGGGAATCAATTAGCTAAGAATTTATTTAGGTTCTATTTTTCGTCTATTTTTCAATTAATGCAGCCGGGGACCACGCTCATTAGTAGCTGGGGGAATCCCCAGGCCCCCGGCTCTTAATTACAGGCCTGGTCAGTATGCACGCCATCTGATGTAAACTGTGATCACAGCTGGGGTTGATCACAGGTCTGATCACTTCTTTCATGGTTTGACAATGCTATCCCAAAAGTATGATCATGAGAAAAGGAGTGATCATGCCAGTGACCTTGGGCATGATTTGTGATCATGCATTGCTTGATCACAAAATATTCTTACTGGGACAGCCTTCTAAAAAGGCAAAACCTGGATCCTGAAAAAGCTCTTTGGGAACACCCTTACATGGGTTTGTCTGAGCTGTTACTTTGCTCCTTTTTACATGTAGGCAAGAAGAGAATAAATATGGTTGGTCATCAGTTACAGATGAATCAGCATTGTATTGACACGGCATATAACTTTTACAAGTTAGCAGTAAACAAACGCCTCACCAGAGGCCGGCGAATAAACAATGTTGTAGCAGCGTGCTTGTATCTTGTATGCAGAACAGAGAGAACACCGCGTATCCTTTGAAAATCAGTTTTAAAAAAAGTAACTTCATGTTATGTGATGCAGGTGATGTTTCTGTTTGTGTCTCAGTTCAGTTAATTAAGTGCATTTGTGTCTCATTACTTCTTCTTGTCATGTCAGAGGCACTTTCCAAGTAATCTATCCACAAATTATTCAAAAGATAAACTTCAGCATTTTATTATTGCCACAAAGTTTTTGTCATAGGCCATCTCCAGGCTTACAGTATCAAATTGAATCTAGTGGCTCAGCTGGTATAATATTAATCATAGGTGATTGCCTCCACTAGCCTAGCTGTACACGTATACTATAAGTATGTGCACAACCTGAAGAGTGTTCTCCAGATGGGAGCTCCAGTAGCTGCCAAAAATTGCTGTATAGTTGGCACAGAAGCACTGGCTACTCAAACAAAAGTATTTTCTAAGAAAGGAAATAGATCGCTGGGTAGTATTTGTTTCTGAGCCATTTTGTTCAATAACAGCAGATTTATGATAAAAAATATTTTGTATAGGTAAATGAAGGTGCCACCTCCATGACTAAAATTCTTTAACTGGTTGCTTAAATTGCACTGAAATGCACTTTCTGAAGCCCCTAAAATAAAAATTTTTCCCAAGGACAGGGGGGCAAATGCCAGCCATGTCTACCCCCACATGGAGCACATCAGCATGAAACTGGCTTTCCACTCATTTTAATCTAATCATTTGCCACCTCCTTTAATTTTTGATCCTCTACCCTACTTTTTCTGGAGAAGACTGCATAAGTAAGAGTGAAATGCAGAGTAACATATTATGGAATCCTTGACACAATTGCAGACATGCTTCTGGACTTCAGTGATGTTTTGCAGGTACTGCTATCAGCATTTTAGTCTTATCTTTTAAGAAGGAACTTCACAACCTGCCGAAGTAAAGGATACCGGTAGAATAAACGTTAGGAATAATAAACTTAGTCGATTGAAATAAACTGCCAGACTCTAAAGTCATCCCTCACTTGCTTCTGGATGGGTTTAGTATAGCAAGCATGGAGAGTGTGCTTTCACTTTGTGTCAGGGTGGACATTATGGGCGCTTTCCATTTACCAAAAACTTTGAGAAACTTCCATGGAAGTTAACGTCCATCGAGTGAAGAACGTGTTCCATTTGACCAAGGTTCCATTTGTTTATGCTCTCATCACCAAAATTCAAGATGGTGGCACAGATATCGCTGTGAATAGCATAGAACTGGTGATTCCTCGCAAAAACCTGTAAATCAAACATGCATTTCCATTGGAAAAGTTTCTAGTGGGAAAACAGGACTACCTTTTCAATTTTCCAGTTATTCCCGGGAATTTTCCAGTGGAACGCCTGATAAAAGCATGTTCCATTTACATCTCAAGAAGAATTTCCGGAATAATTGGTAAATGAAAAGCACCCTATATGTTTCTTTTGGTGATTTCTATTGTTTTCCCCTAAGCCTTGGCAACAAGTTTGAAATTATTATTTGTGTGAAGTTAGCCACTTTTTAGCCTCGGAATGATAATTAGCACCCTGAGTGTGGGAATTGAATTTAACTCTTGTGAATTGCTTTGATAGGTTGATGTGTTTACATTGGGTAGAGCTTATCTTAAACTGGCTCAGGAGCTCTACATTAATCTGCCTGCTGTTGGTAAGAAAGCCTTAAACCTGTATGTAATGTTTATCAATATTATTTGTGTGGTTAAGTATATGGTGCTTATTCTTAGTTTTCACTTAATTTGTGACAAGGTAGTCAAGCTGGTGTATAATACAGAGTATTTTCACAGAATTTGTACCACAATTATTTATTTCCCAGAGGAGTAAACCTACATGTTGGCTGTGACATCACCCCATAAATATCACATACAGTCGAACCTCCCTAATACGGAGACCGAAGGGACAGAGCAAAGTGTCCGTATTAGAGAGGTTGCTATGATTACATATACGTCACCTTTCAGGCCCCACTAACAGGTTAGAGTGTTCGTTAAGTAAAATCAAGCCCAGAACTCAGTGCCTTGTTAATTTCTGAATCTAATTTTATTAATGTTAATTGTACTTCTCAGTTACATGCAGTACATACGAATTTTGCAACAAAACGAAATACTTTGCCTAAGACATGTTCTGGTATTGGTTTATCGCTGACTGATAAAGTGTCAATGTTTGTGTAACTGCCGACAGGAAATGGTACATATACCACAAATTATCAACACCTTGTCCCGTAGTGTCCGTAAAAAAGAGGTTAAGTTTGTACGAATTTGCTCCAAAGGGCCGAGATTTTGTGTCCGTTGTCAGTATTAGAGAGGGTCCGTATTATAGAGGTTTTTTTTGGAGGAAATGTATGAGAATTTTGTCGGTACATATATAGGAAACTGTCCATAATAGAGAGCTGTCCGTATTAGAGAGGTGTCCGTACCAAGAAGTTCGACTGTATTTGTGAAGCATGCTTATGTGCTGCTTACTGGTTTCTATAAAAACCATTCCAGAATGAGTCATGAAATTGTTCCTGTGAAATGTATTTCATTCTGGTAAAATGTAACCTGACAAAAGAACTTTCTCCGGAGATGAAATTGCAAACGCTGTATAATCTAGGGTGAGTAGAGCATGTATGTTTGATCTCGCACAAAAATCATGTGAGTGAGAAATCCTTAGGCTGACATTAGCTGAGATGGTTGATGTTGTCCTGTGAATGCAGTAGGGACTTCATATTTTTAGGAAAATTTATTGGGGAATGAAAACAATTCTGGTATCATGTGAATAGCCTGTAACTACCCATTCAATAACGTTTAGTTCCCTTTTAGTTTGCTTTGTTTTAACTGGAAAAAATATGAAACGTTGACTTGCCCAGAGAAGGTTGGGTCATGAAGACTATGTTTTTTATGTGCTGGGTTAATAAGCTCCTTATAGAACAATATATTAGAAAGCAGGTATTCAATAATGGCTGTTAGAGTCAGTTAAGGAATTATTATGTAATTACTATACTTCTCCTGTTCCTAGATCCTTGTCTATACATCCATCGTTTTGCACACAAATTGGAGTTCGGTGAAAAGGAGCATGATGTTGCTATGACTGCATTGAGGTTAGTCTCAAGAATGAAAAGAGATTGGATTCATCATGGTCGGCGTCCTTCAGGGCTCTGTGGGGCAGGTAAATGACCTTGGAGGATGTTTTGTTTTCTATTTCTTGTCTATTTCTTATCATTACCCATTTGAGTTGCACATTTCTGTTTACCCCATCCACTCCCCCTCAGGTGCTGCAAGGAGAACTAGTGGAGGGACTAGTGGGTTTGCAAGTCCCAAGCTTATACTGTGTTTTGAGCTTTAAGTGTTCTTGTTTCTTTGCACCATTTTCTGTAACCATGTATGGCTTGATTTCAATTGTGTAATGTATCTGCCAAATAATGTTATTTATTTCATCCTTGACAGCCCTCTTGGTCTCCGCAAGATTACATGGTTTTAATAGAACAGTGCGCGAAGTTGTGCGAGTTGTTCGCATCAGTGAATCCACCATTAGAAAGAGGTTAGGAGACTTTCAAGATACACCTTCTAGCCAACTCACCATTGATGAATTTCAAAAAATAGATCTTGAGGAAGAGCAAGATCCTCCTTCATTTACGCAGGCAAGGAAAAGGGCCAAACAGCAAATGGAGGAGCTTAACAAACCTGAAATCACTTCTGAATTGGAGGCTTTTCAGAAAGCAGTTGACATGGCTTTAGGAGTTCACAAAAAAGAGGATAATGTAAAAATTATCAAAGACAATGGACCTATTACTTCCGCTGAGAATGATAATGGTGTTCCGGGGAATGGCAGTTCAGTTTTTGTTCCCCCATTTTGCACAGGAGAGCAGAAAAATGTTGCATTTAGCAATGGTGGAAATACAAATTCTTCATCAGTTGGTGATGGGAAAGAAGACACGTCTCAGACAGGTATAAAATTTGTTTTTTACTTGGCCTATAGTTGCCTTGTGCCTTGACATGGGTGAGGACAACTTGAGTGTTTTATTTTTCTTTACTTGACGTAAAGGTAGTGATCATGTTTTACAGTGCAAGTTCAAAAGTAGGTTAAGTTGCTTGTAAGGCCATGTAATGTCTAACCCTGCTTTAGGGACCTCATTATTATGGACAGTTTGCTTTGTCCATGGAGATAGAAAACCCTGACATTTTCTCTCAATTCAACTGGCTTAATATGGACAACCCGTTCAAACAGACACATTCTATGGCCACCTTGGTGTCCAGTATAAATGGGGTTTGAAGGTAGCTAGATACTGCTGCACGTTAGTGTTTCAGAGTTTTTCTTTCTCTCCCTTGCTTCGAGATGTTTTTGCCCCAAGTGCTCTTGTTTTCCCTTCTCCTAAAAACCATTGCTTCCAAATTCCAATTCAATTTGAAACACACAGACACATTTAAACGATTTCTTCAGAACTCTTGAGTGCTTCGTGGGTAACTAAATTACAATTTACCATATTCTTGGGATATGACACATAGTTCAGTGTTGCTTATCAAATGCCATCATATGGCACATCAGTGTACACTGTTTGCCTCAATTCTATATTTTGAAATATTCGTTCTGTGTTGTAGTTGAAGAACCGTCAGAAGACAAAGAAAGTGAGGAGCTGGATCTAACTGGGCTAGATGATGCTGAACTCGATAAAGTATGATATGTAGTCTTGTAGTTGAACAGAGTACCAACAGGCCGTTTTGAGGTTGTGCGTAACAGAGTTGTCGTTGGGCAGGTTTCGTACACTTACAAATAAATTCTGGAAATTTGTTCTTTGTGTTGTCACGCAACACTTCTCCCCACAGGAAGAGGAAGGGTAGCTTGGAAGTAATGGTGCAAGAGATAATGGGGCGCGCAAGGGAGACATGCGTGTCTCTGTCATGTGCCTTTTTCTTACCCGCGCCCATTACTTCCAAGCGCCTGCTACGCAGGGTAGAGGAGGAGCTTGGATGCATAGGAGACTAGGAAGTGTGTAATGATCCTTTTGATGTGTTGAATTTTGGTCGTAATGTTAAATGTATGCTGACGTTTGAGCTTACTGCACATGTATAATCTAAAGAGAGAGATTTGAGAGATTAGTTTGGTTATTAACGGTAGTCAAAAGATAGTATACCGGTAATTAAGACAGGGCTTCTGATATTTCGCGCGGTCGCGGACCCGCGAAATTCAGGTATTTCCGCGAAATCCGCCAGAAATATTTCCAAATACATGTCGGCAAAACATATTTAATACTTATCTTGGCTATTAGACCTGTTTTATTCACCCCAAACGTCCAAATTTATCTTGAAACTTCGTCACTGCAACGAGTAAACAACGTCCCGAAACTACCAGGCGTTTTTAGATGAACGTTGCGAAAAACTGGGTACTAACCATCATGTTAATAGCTTTAGCATTCGCTCATTTCTCGAGCGAACTGTTGTGGAAAGAGTAAATGATTATCCCTGTTAAAAAAACGTTAAAAACGCTGGTCATATCGACGCAAAATTGATCGATTTTAGCTAAATTTGCCCAAAAAAAATCCAGCGAAATCGGCAGTTTTTTACTGATTGTTTCTTGGCGAAGTTTCCCCCCGAAATTTCCCGTGAAATCGGCCGATTTTTCTTAGAATTTGCCCCTGAAAATCCTTCGTAATTTGACTTTTTTCCGCTAAAATCCCGCAAAATCGGCCGATTTTTCTGCGAATTTTGACTTTTCTCCCGCGAAAATCCTGCGAAATCGGCCGATTTTTTCGCGAATTTTGACTTTTCTCCCGCGAAAATCCCGCGAAATTGGCCGATTTTTCCGCGAATTTGCCCCTGAAAATCCCGCGAAATTTTGCTTTTTTTCCGCGAAATATCAGAAGCCCAATAAGAGTTCCGCACAATTAAGAATTCTTTCAATTGAGAAATCTGTTAATGGATTTCTAACCAGGAATTTTTGGATTCCCCCCTCTCTGTAGACAATTCAGTGAAAAAGCTTTTGTAACTTTGGAATCTTTTAGGAAGTTAGCGATGATGCCGCGATGACGTTTGCTCATTTGGTGCAACTTTCCGTATATCAAAATTACTTTGTCCAAGTATTCAGTGAGTTAAAATCATTTCTTGCCTACTTGATTTCCAGTGCCTTTTAAACAGCGAAGAGATTGAAATAAAGACAAAACTCTGGATGGAAGAAAATAAGGATTACTTGGAAAAATTAAAAGGTGAATTTATTATGTCGTTCATTTAGGTATGTATAGCGTGTGCAGTAAAGGTAAGGATCTAATCAATATTCAGGCAAGGAGGGTGCTTTCACTGCATGAAAGGGAATCCAGACTCCGGAACCCGGGAATACCTTACTTGTGGAATCCAGAATCTGGGAAAATTTTGCTTGAAAATTCGGGAATCCTGGTCTTTGGAATCCACAATACAGCTCAAGGGATCCGCAGTCCTACTAAAGAGGGGAATCTAGAATCCATTTTCCACTGACAAAGGCTGGAATCCAGTACCTGGAATCCGGATTTCGCAGCGTGGAATCCAGAATTTGTCTTGGGTTCCCTTACATTGGGCCAGTACAGTTGCGTTATTATCCAAACAAATTAAATCCTAAAAGAGTTTTAAACCCATGACCTTGCTTTCAACTGGACGATTGCTATAACCAACTCTGTTAGACAATGAACTGTGCATTCACGGCTGAAAATCGTCTAACCGAATGCGGACATTTTGGTTACGCCAGCCAAATACCTTTACTTCCGTTAAAAAAGCAATCAAATAGCCTTCTTGGAAGACTTCTGTCTGTGTTGAGTCAAGCCTTTAACGGAGCCGTTGGCAACACAAGACGGTTTAATAATCGGTTTAATGCTTTTGTTCCTCATAGAAAAACAAGAGAAAGAAGCGAGAGAAAAGGAAGAAGGAAATAAACAGGAAAATAAAAAGGTTAGACAAAAACATGATGAACTACTACTCAGTTATGTTTTACTGTTATAGGATAGGAAGCCTGCATGGTAGGTAAGGGTGAAGGAAGGGCGAATTTATATATTGATTTAGACAACGTTTTCTTACGGGACCTACTCGGGAAATCCCTAGCGGGTAGGGAACGGGATTCCCATCATCTTGCCTGCACTCGTAAGTAACTCTATCAATATAGAGCAGCTGTCCTGTTGCTGTGTGCGGTGGATCATATTGTCCAACGCCAAGAATGATCTCTTGCCAACGCGTACTGCCCTATTTCTTTGTCCCTTTTATACTGAAATCAGGGCTCACGATAGCCTAGCCTGCGTAGCTAGGGTTTTCGTGCGATTTCGGAGCAAAAAACGAGGATCGAGAGTCAAAGATCTCGCGAAAAGCTCTCGCTCTCGTTCCAGTTTTCGCGCGGTCAAAACCGAAAACCCCATTCCTCGGTCTTTCTTTGCTCTGAAACCAAACGGAAAACGCTTGCTACGCAGGCTAACGATAGCCAATCAGATTGGAGGATTTTTCTTGTGTGTTATGGTTATGATTAATTTTAGAGTGTTTATGGCGTTTGCAGAAACGAAAATCGTACAAGAAGAGAACTCCAAGTGGACCAGCCAGTACCGCCGGAGAAGCAATTGAGAAGATGTTAGTAGAAAAGAGAATATCTCTCAAAATCAACTATGAAGTGCTGAGAGATCTGGAGACTAGTCAGTCCAGTAAACCTACTCTACCGGACAAACCTGCTGCTGAACCGGTTATACCGGCCAAACAGGAATTCCTCACTCCACGAGTACCTACAAGAACTGGTGGAAGAAAAAGGTGGGCTAAGCTCAGTGGGAAGTGTTACCATGGGAATAAACCCATTTTGGGAATTAGAGTCCTCGGTTACCTCTAGCATGAACTTCGTTAGGACTCTGAGTTGGTGAAAACAGATTGACCATTTTTAATTTAATCTTCAATCATTCCAGTCTTTGGAATATGGGAATTTTCTGTCTGTCTCTTTACCAACGCATCACGGAAAGCCGCAAAAATTTTGAGGACAACTCGGTTTATCTTTCAAAGTTGTACTCTAAATTCTAGTCTGACAGCAAACACTTCAATTATGGTAAACGAGGCGAGCCGCGAGAGAACACGCTCCTCGCACTCGCGTCTCCTCTCGCGTGACTCCTCGCGACTCCCCAAACGCGGAGCTTGCTTGCAGGCTATCTAAATTCTTACGGAGTCAACGAACGCTTTTCCTTTAACCAATTTATTCTTGCTTCCTTGTTTTGACCTTATGATATTCCTTCTAATAACCTTGCTCCAACATACGGTATTTAAGCCACAATCTACAATCCCCTGATTCGCTCTCACAAAGGGTTCGTGCATTATTTTCCGGGCACCATATCAAAACTATGTCATATACGGTATATCAATATATAACAATATTATTTTCCGATACCAATATCATTTCCCTACCTATAATATAACTCCAACATATGGGTATTGAAACCACACACAACCTACAATCTCCTTATTCGTTCTGCCGAAGGGCTAGCACTCCAAACGTTCGCTTCTCTATCTCTCTACGGTTGCCAATCGTCTTTATTACCTCAGATGATAAAAACAAATTCGTAGTTTTTCTCACAGAATTCGAAGCCGACCTAACATACTTTTTTTTTCAAGGATGTAACTCGGTCGCTTACGCGGCAAGGTTTGACTGAACTGTTGATTGTGCGCGAATTGTTAAACTTCGTTCTCTTTGAATTTCAGAGATTCGTCTTCGCCTGCTGTTTTGCCATCAGAATCCTTCAAGAAACCAAAGGTAAGCGTGCTTACAGCTGAGACCGTAAGATGGGGGTTTTACGGCATTAGAGAGATTAAGATTCACGTTTACGGCAAACGGCAAACGTCAGATTTAAGCTTAGAATTTCTCAGAATAGAAAATAAGCCGATAAAAACTGTCCAGAACAATTCTTACGGATAACACTGGCGTGAAACTACTTAGTTTTGAGTAGAAGTAATAAACAGTACACGACATTTAAGGGAAAACTTGGTCACGTGGTACAAATTCACGTTTGCCGTTTGGCGTAAATGTGAATCTTAATCTCTCTTAAGATTCACGTTTACCGCAAACGGCAAACTTCAGATTGAAATTGAGAATTTCTCAGAATAGAAAATAAACAGATAAAAACAGTTCAGAATGATTCGTATGGATAAAACTGGTATAAAACTACTTTTTCTGTGTGTGTAGAAGCAATAAACAGTAAACGAAAAATAAGGAGAAAACTTGGTCACGTGGTGCAAATTCACGTTTGCCGTTTGGCGTAAACGTGAATCTTAGTTCTCTCAAATAGAGAGGTAAGAGATTAGCAAAGCTGTTGTTTTGCTAATCTAAACCTATTGCTTTTTCGCTCCCGCCGCCGTCGCCATTGTCAATCAGGGCATTTGTGCTAAATACATTGACACTCAAATAAAGTTCTTTTTTAGCCTACCTTATAACACTCTTAACAGACTGCACCTGTTTGGACATTTGCCAAACACTGCAAACCGAAAGAACATAGCAAACCGAATTGAAAAAATGTGGTTAGGAAATCATGATCATGTGCGTTTAGCAATGACTATTTGAAAGGAGTGTAACACTTAAAGCAAGCTACCGTAATATCCCGGTGGAAGTAAGCCTTGGGCCTATACAATGTGGTAAAAGATTTAGGCGGAGCTTATATATATTCGTTATGGGGTTACTCAGTATAATAAGCAGAAAAACATTTTGAAACTGGCTGGCAACGAAACGTACTTTATTTCACTAAAATTCTAGAACATAACAAGAAATAGATACACATAGATGAGCCTGTAGCCAGGGGAAGCCGCGGCTTACAAGTTGGGGGCGGGGGTGGGGGTGCTTAATTATAACGAATGGAATCTAGATAGATTTTCCTATGACCGGCTGGCACTTAAAAGTTGAGGAGGGGGGTGGGGGAGGGGGGCGGTGAAACAGGGATTTTACGGTACAACGCAGAATGTCGACTCAAGAGTGCGTTATCATTTCCAGCTTACCCAGTCTCCAAAACCAGTCACCGAAGAAGAAAGCCAAAATGAGGTAGTTGTTGAAAGTGGCCCAGTGGAGTATGAGAAGAATGATGAAAATACGCAAGAATTCGATGAACTGGAGGAGGAGGAGGAGGAGGGGGAACCAGTGAGTGTGACACAGCTCATGGGACACATATACGATGGAGGTAAGTTGCTTCCATTTTTTCGGTAAGTAGAGTGTTAAAGTCGGAACACACAAGGCAACAAGTTGCAGTAACACGTCTCGGCGACGCAGTTGTCCATTTCGTAAACGGTCGCTGCGTCGCCGAGACGTGTTACTGCAACTTGTCGCCCGGCTAGCTCAGTTGGATAAGGGCCGGTCTGCCTAGCGGGAGGCGGCTGGTTCAAGTCCCTGCCAGACCAACACTCAGGGTCTTTAAATAACTGAGGAGAAAGTGCTGCCTTTGTGAAGACATCTGCAAACGGTTAGACTTTCTAGTCTTCTCAGATAAGGACGAAAAACCATAGGCCCCGTCTCACAACCCTTGCATATGTAAATTCTGTGGCACGTTAAAGAACCCACACACTGTTCGTAAAGAGTAGGGGACGTAGTCCCCGGTGTGGTGGTCTATCTCTCATGGGGAGACGGACTGTTACGGGCCCGCAGTTATTGGCGTCATGCTGTTGCGGTGACCCTGCTAATTATTGGTGAATGTAATAAAATAAAATAAAATAAAATTTTTACGACACTTATCGACTTTTCTAGGAAGATCGAAGGGCCACTGCTCGCAGGGTAAGGTGACCCTAGCCCTTTTCGTAAATGATAACGAAAATTCAATTTGGCTCCAACGTCTTTCTTTCTAACACTATTCCAAAACGTATTTTTTGCGTTTTTGTAACTTAATTCAGGGAATATTTTATATCTATCATGACTGAAGGCTTGCTGGTTACTATTGGTGACATCGACCGTTAAAAATGGCAAAGACTGTTCACGAAAGGGAAATAGGCGTCGACGACAGATCACTTCTTGTGTACAGGTCGGGCGACTAGTTGCAGCAACACGTTGCGGAGACACGTCGCAGCGACAAATCGCTTCGTGTGCAGTGGAGAATTTTGGTGAAAATCTTTGTCTCCGCAACAGAATTTTGTCGCTGCAACAAGTCGCAAAAAAAAACAAAAAACAAATCAGACTGAATTTCTGCGACTTTTTGCGGCTACAAAATTCTCCACTGTGTTTTCTATTGCCAATAACTCCTGTTACTCGCTATGGAACTTAGCATTAGCGAAGAAATGACTTGTAAAATAAAATGACAAAATCACAGCTTGGCGACTTACAATTATGTCTCCCAAGCATTATATTTCAGGTTGTAAACAGTGGGGATGTTCTTCGAAAAACTGTTAGGCTAACAAGTTTTTAAAAACCCGATAATAATTCGACGGGTTAATATTCTAAAATGTTTTCCAGTGTGTTCTATTACTGTATTTGTTGTGTTATTTAAACGGTTCTTCGATGTTTTTGAGAACCACCCTCGCAGACTCTCTTAGAGCTTCGCCACCGTGTGACGAAGCCTCAAGAATGTCTTCGCCCCATTTCATTCCCTTGTTACCCCTGCCAGGTAGGTTGTCAAAAGCCAAACTTAAGAGTTTCAGTTAGTGGCTTGTGTTCCATAGAAGAATGAAGCTAGTGATTTATGCTGTATAATTATTATCTTCTAGGTGCAGAAGACGAGTATGGAGAAGATTACGAATGATGAGACTGCGAGGCCTTGGTTGCTAGAGTATCGCGTCTATCGACGAATAAAAACCTGGAGAAAAAGTGTATGGTTTTGAAAGGTCGTCGAGTCAAGTCCCCTGGTGACCAGCTGCCCAGTGCAGGCGCTGTTTTTCCGGGGTCAAAATTATCCTTCTCAACATGGAATACACCGCAAAGGTGGATACGTTAAAAGGTTGAACGAAATCTGGAAAACAAGAAAGTTTTAGGTAAAACAGAGGAAGTTGAATGGCACAGAATGGTAATTCGTACAACCGAAGAAATCCGTTGCAACTTAAAGTTGCTGGATTTTGTATCATAGGGCATCAAAGAGTTAAATTATTAATAGTATTTCAAATGGATATAATTATTTATAAATAGGTTGATTCCTTACTAAATAGATTCAGCATTATATGTGTTGGAAAAACAAATACATGCAATAGTTTCCACGTGTTATGGAATTGTGTACATAACCATCCATCTATTCACTAATCGCTGAGGGATAAAAATGTTGTTAAAGGCTCATTGAAGCCTGACTCATCCTAATGGCTAGCCTGCGTCGTAGACACTTTAAATCCCCAATGGCCTAGACGATGCGTGGGCTGGCTGAAACTCAGCCTACCTTGTCCACTTCAGAAACTCTAGGGAGAATAAGTAACGCTTGTCTACGCAAACAATCCCAGAAATCGTTGCTCCGAAAGCTGGTACCCATTCCCCTTATAGTTTCTGGAGTGGCGATGTTACAGTGATATGGGCATACCCGCGTATTGGGCATCCCCATGCTTCAAAATCCTAGTGATATGGGCAGCGAGTTGGGTTAGGGTTAGGGTTACAAAGTATGCCCATATCACTAGGGTTTTGGAAATGGGGATGCCCAAAACGCGGGGATGCCTATATCACTGTGACAGGGAGAAGCGTTTTGGAAGACCAACGTAGCCTCTAGCCCTCTTTTCACAACGAAGTGCAAAGTCTTCGACACCATAAAAATGTACTTCCACATTAAAAGGTTTGTTTCGTTTTGTCTCATTTTCAAGATGAGAGTACTTCGATTCTCGTCCAAACACTCTCAGTCATGCCATGGACTGGTTTTCCAAACAGTTTCTGAGTTGACCATAGACACAGATAGATATACAAGACACGGAAAATTTATCCAGATATGTTACGAGCATAAATTCACCACTATGAGCTTGCAATTTTTCTTTAGCTTGAATATTTTCAGACTATTTAGACATTTCTCCCCTACATTCCTTGCATAAAATTGTTTTTTCTTCGTCCCATATGTTTTTCATTTGATAGTTAATTGACTGTGTTCAATTTTTTATAATCTTATCTTTCACTTGCATTTTTTGCCCTCGAATTTTATCTAATCGTAGTAAAATTTTTGGAAGAATTTGCTACGCTCCAATCACCGCTCATATTATGGTAATAAGTCAAAAGGAAAATATGACCTTCCAAACCAAACAAATAAAAACCACAACGTTCATGAAAAAAAAAACACACACGCACACACGTAATATCAGTTGGGAAAATGATGTAACGTCGTTCATAGGAGAATTCTGAGGTTAACTATTTATTTGACTACTGAACAATGAGAGGAAGGACAAGAGAAATATTTCATGACTTTAGTTGGCTGGCTCATTGTAGTCGTGCGATGCATTTATAATTTATAACAATACTAAATGGACTTTGATCTTAAGTGAAGAGATTTCCGATGCTGTGGAAAATTCATATGGTAAAAGTAAACGAGAAAACCAAATAAAAGTCAATTATTTTCTCAGTTCATTAACCGACTATCGCTCAATTTTTTTTGAGATACTCAATCAATATGCCCAAGTGGGTGGTGGTGATGGTGAATGGAAGGGGGATGGGGAGGGGAGAAGTCCGGATTTATGGTGACTGGGCGACGCTCTGATGGAGGGTTTTCTGTTATTGTACTTTAAATTCATGATATGATTTCGGGTTTGTATTGTGAAGAAAATGTTTGGCTCGTATATTTTTTCAGGTAGAGTGGTTTTACTGGGGAATTTGTTTGGTCGTTCCACGTACCTTTCCTGCTGTGAATGGTCGTAAATGATTTCCAGCTTGCGATTGACACCTGCTATATTTATCACATAGGGTGCTCCACCCTTTGGCTTCTCTTCCATATTATTAGTTGAAATTTTTTTCAGATTATTTAATAATTTGGCAAATGTAGTTTGGTTTAGCATAAGACCACCCAGCCAGTCATATTTTTGAAAGCTGGTTTATTCATGATTAACTATTGATAATTCATTAGCCTCGAACTTTCGCAACAACGTCGTCTGCTTTCCAAAAAAAAGGAACAAATATCGGCTCGAAAAGGAAATGGCTCTGGAAATATTCAATCCCTAAGAAGAGAGATTCTGAAACCGCGTTTATACCTGATTTTCTCGATAAACCGATGACTGTAGTACAAGTTGAGTTTTTTTAAAAAATCTATTTTACCATTTTCAGGGGGGTGGTAGCATTCCGAATTTGGTTTCCCAGTTACAGAGTCCACCAATATTCTTTCTGATGCCGTTGAATTTCAGTTATGCATCTGCAGCCTATAGGCCTGTTTTAGGCCAAGCAATACAACCGAAAAACAGTCGCCTTCCGTAAAAGCCTTTGATGCCCCCTTCTTTTTTCTAGATGCTGGGTATTAATATTCATTATCACAAAAGCAAATAGGATGTGGAACAATGTTTGTGTTGACTACCTTACCAGCTCACTACATATTTAAACACTGACTCGGATGGGATCATTATCATTATACGTTTCTGGGAAACTGCCCACCTATCCCTCCCCTAACCCAACACTAACGCTTACTTATCACTTAGAGCAAAATGTTGGCTTAGGGGAGGGGTAGGTGGGCTGTTTCCCAGAAACGTATAATGCGGATGTACCTCTCTACCCACTATCGTTTTTCCCGCCTCCGTGAGATTTTGTATATGTAAGCCCATCCTTCACACGGAATTATCTGTGCACCTGCCTCAGTTTGGACCCATGTTCAAGTTAATTAATTTAACAAGAGTACAGGGGTTTATTGACTGCACGTAATTTCTTATTCTTTCCCTAATTGTTTTCTTTTCACGTACATCCAAGGTTCGAGAGCTTTAGTTTTGTATATTTTCTAAGGTGAGTGTACAAATAAAATAGGCTCATGAAAACTTCGAATCCGACTTCATTAATTTCCTGATTGTTTTCTTTTCATATTTTTCATAGTGAAAGTGAGGGTAGCTTTTGAGCATTTGGATCGGAATTATTTTACTCTACAAACGGCTCTCTCTGAAAATTAATTTCGGTTTTTGTGGAAGAAATGGCTTGACCCTAGCTGTTGGGTACTTGGCAAATTGACAACTTAATGGCATAAGGGAAGATCCACTTTCTCTTGTCATAACAGGTCACCAAATATCAAACATTCAAAAGTAAGAATGAAACACGACAAGCCGGATTCACGTTACAGTTAAATACAATAAGAAGATAAAAGATGATTTCCTTGTTGGTTTAATTTAAAATTAATTTAAGATTTTCACTAAAATTAAGTTGGGAATAAGGCCGCACCCAAATTCACAACAAATGTTTCACACACATGCTTCAAAAGTTTATCTTGGCAGAAGATTTCGATTCATCAAGATAATATGATATTCAATTTCATTATTTAGCTTCTCTCAATAAAATGCTAATGAGATTTCTGATGCAATACTGTCGTCAAAAGCTTTCGTGTGATGCGGCCCATCGACCGGCGAGAACAGAGCCTCATTAATAATTTCACGGAGCAAAGGTCGTTTATTTAATAGGGAGGGGTAACACCGTAAGACTGTCTTCAGGAAAAAACTTTAATTTAGCTGTTACTTTCTCTTCAGTTTTAACAAAATGAGTGTAAGAAAATTATTATGTGCCCAAAAGATGGATACCAATTTTGACGAACTATATCCTTTGAAAGATTTGAAATCGAAATTGTTTTGAACATCCACCCTACCCCTCCCTAAAAATGATCTCATGTTTTCCCATGGGACGACCGCGTGATCAATTGAATAAATTTGCCGCGTGTATCTTTGTTTTGTGTTGTGGTTCGCGCCATTGCAGACTATTGCTTGCGATTGTAGCTTCCCTCTAGGGTTTTTCTCACTTGTTTAAGTGAGCAGTCCCTTGCAACATGTCTAACGAGGTAGCATTTAACAGTCTCGAAAAAGATGATGTGAAAATTGCCTTCGATGACTCTCCTCATGCCCCTTTGAAGCCGACTGAAAAAGAAATTGCCGCTCACAGAAAAACACGCTTGATCCTCGTGGCATTGTTCGGTGTTGTCGTTCTAGTGCTAGTCGTCGTGGCTATAGTTATTATAGCAGTGTCTCCTCGTTGTTCACCTAAAACGACTCCAGCTCCCGGCAAGGCAAACAAAACGGACGACGATTCGTGGTGGAAGCACGCGGTCATTTACCAACTTTACCCTCGATCTTTCTTTGACAACAGCGGTGATGGAAATGGCGACTTGAAGGGGATTTCTAGCAAGTTAGATTACTTTGCTGAGCTGGGAGTTAATGCTCTGTTGTTAAACCCGATCTACAAGTCCAACGGAGGCTACGATGTTGAAAACTACACAAGTATCGACACGTTGTTCGGAAACATGGACGATTTTGAAAATCTTCTGAAGGACGCTAAAGAGAAAGGGCTGAAAATCATCATGGATTTCGTTCCCAATCACACTTCAAAGAAACATCCTTGGTTTGAGGAAAGCAAGAGAAGCAAAACAGATCCAAAGAGAGATTGGTATATTTGGCGTAACGGAACAGGAGAGAACAAAACAGAACCCCCAAACAACTGGCTCAGTGTATCTGGCGGCAGCGCCTGGACATACGACAGCACTAGCGAGCAATTTTACCTTCACCAGTTTAAAGAAGAGCAACCAGACTTGAATCTGAGAAACCAAGAAGTGAAAGATGAACTGAAGAAGGCGATGAAGTTTTGGCTTGATAAAGGGGTCGATGGCTTCCGATTCGACTCCGTGCAGTATTACGCGGAAAACGATACATTTGAAGACGAACCCACACTAGCGGGTTACAACGCCTCAAATCCCTTGTACGACTTTCTGGATCATAAATTCACTTTCGGTAATTAAATTCATACAGTTTATTCTTCCCTGACTTAGTAATACTGATGACATTTTCTATCGTAGGAGAGTTCATATAAAATCGATATACATGCCATTGATTTCATAGTCCTTCTGCGCTCCCCCTGCCCCCCCCTCCTACCTCACCCCACCTTAGATGAGGTATTTAGGAAACTTCACGCGGCTAGTAGGAATGTGCAGTATTTTTCCAAGTCCACTTGAAATCTGCACTGTTTTGTATCCTTACAGTAGCAGTCTGCTTTTAGACAAATGGGTGGTTCCAGAAGGCTACTTGGAATTCCTAAATGGGTGGGGGGAGGGGCTGGTGGACTGAAAGGCATAAGGGGGGTGGGGGGGGAGGTCCAGACCTCCATAAGGGAACTACAGTTTTGTAACTCAAGCCCCAGCTTAAACAAAGCACCAGAGGGACCAGTGTTATGTACTGCATGATTAATATTTTAGAAAAATCTTTGTGGCTTACCATCTATTATAAATAAAAGCGCAATTTTCTTTATCTTATTTGGAACTCTTGTCAGGTTTGCAAATGCTTGGAAAGAATCAGTATTCAAAACTTCCACCAGTCTCTTGCTGCCAATAGTTTTGTTTGCTGTTAGACAGTGTAAATTCCAATGACATCCGTGTGGTTGTAGTCTGTAATTGTTTTCAAAATTGCAAATCTCCCCACCTATTTTTGTCAAACGTAAATTAAAACATTCCCTCCCCACGGGAATAAATGTAGAATCTAGTCCATCTCTGTTATATTCTGGGGTATATTCGGATGATAGTTGCATTGACATAAGTAAAAGTGGCTGGTTGCAAGCCGTAGGATTTCAAATGCAATTTCATGACCAAAGATCATGGGAAAACATCTGTAACCATTTTTTGGTCGTGTTAAAATTTATGGGAACCCACCTTAATTTTTGTAAGTCATATATTCTTTTTCTTGGCACTGGAAACCTTAAACCAGTAACATGCAGTAATGATACAGTACCAGAAATTTTGCATTTTCCTGCTTGTTTCAGGTCTTGATGAGGATCTTACAATCCTGCAGGAGTTCATTGATTCTCTGAAAAGCGATGGAAGTAATCCCCCCCTGATTGCTGAAGTGAGCGGTGATTACAACAAAACATCACTTTATTTTGACAAGGTACAGATGCCAGAAAACCTGGGCTTGATCTCCATGGTAAAACGCACTGGCATGACCCTGTCTCAGGGAATCTTTCACACTATTAGTGAATACATGAGTGCTCTCCCGAAAGGCAAGATTCCAAACTGGGTCATTGGTAACCTTGATGAAGTTCGTGTTGGGAGCCGTGACAATGTGGGTAGTGATAACCGGAATGCAATGAATGCCCTTTTACTCACCCTTCCAGGGGCTGTTATGTCATATTATGGTGAAGAGATTGGCATGCTGGATGGCAGCAAATCCAGCGCAGATAGTCAGAGAACTCCAATGCAGTGGGATAACTCAGACAAAGCTGGTGGGTAACTCTTTGCTGACAGAAATGTAATGGGGAATTTTAAGCTCAGTGAATACATGAGAAAGATGTTTTATTCATTCAGTGACACAGGCAGGTTGGAAGAAAGAATCTGAGTACTCCCAATAGCAGTCAAGCCAATGACCTTCTTGTCACTAGTTCAGATGCCCTACCACTGAGCTACAGGATACTCGTTGGAGCTAAGGCCGTTAAACCATGTCTGTGTGACAAAAACCCTACATGCTGCTAGGACTGGAATGTCAATATTTGCTTGTTATCAGTAACAGAAATGTGACGTTGAATTGTAAGGTCTTAACAAAAACAAACTTTCTCGACAAATCTCAACTACTTGTGAGTCTAGTTCCATAGAAGAGTCCAAGTTCAACAACGTCACATGACATAAACATGTGATAATTGTCACAACGTACATAATGTAACGCAACTCTAAATGTCACTAACAAATTCCGTGAAATATTACATGAGAGAGGTGTTTTTTCAGTCAATGACACGGGCAGCATGGAAGAAAAATCAGAGTACTCTTAACAGGAGTGAAACCTATGACCTTCCACCTTATTGGTACTAAATTTCGTTGGGCTTTAATTTGGCATTTTTCGCAATTGTAAAAAAATCGTGAAATTAAAGACCTGCGGAAATAAATCCGTAGGAAATTATCTTAATACCCATATAGAAAATAAAAAAACAGAATTAACTTGTAATAGCAACAACATAGACACTATATGTATGGGCCAAAACAAATTGTTAACTGGTTTTACTGGTAACCTCAAATTTGTATCTTCCCTTTAGAATTAACATTAGTTTGCAAAGATTTCACACATAAGTTACAAGTTCCTGCTTATCTGAAGATTTTTAAAGGTTCAGACTTTAAAAAAAAAGCCTACTTTGCAAATTTTAATGCCCTTTTTTTCATATTTGCCTGTTAAAATTGCAAACCTTGCAAAATACTGTCTTGTCAAAATGGCTAAATTATGTACCAGTGGAATTAAGTACCAACAAGACGCTACGGAGCGTACACTTCGGCGTCGTGGTTGTGGAACTAATTAATTGTAAATGCGGAGGAATAGTAAGAAATCAAATATGGTAAGAGTAAGGTGTTAATTTGTGAAATTATGGGATTTGTCAGGATANGTCGTGGTTGTGGAACTAATTAATTGTAAATGCGGAGGAATAGTAAGAAATCAAATATGGTAAGAGTAAGGTGTTAATTTGTGAAATTATGGGATTTGTCAGGATATTCTGAAAAGAGCAACATCCAAGAAGCCTACTTGCCAAAAACTAGCATTTCGGGACAAATTGTCTCCGAGGTATTAGCCCAGTTATGCTCTGATGACTCCATACAAATCCTTTTCAAAAAACAATTCTCTATTTTTCTTAGTCACATCAGGCTTCAAAAACAGCATAGCAGTTTCATGTCCTGATTAAAGATATGTAAGGCATGGGTAAGGAGTCAATTACGTTGAGCATGGAATTGGCTAAAACTCAAAGTCACGAGTTCAAATGTTTTGAGAATAATTATTCGATCACTGACTATCAGCACGCAGGGATGTCGGATTAACACAAGGAAGTTTAAGACCAAAGGAACATAGCCTTTACAGAGCTTTAAAACACAGCATTCACCAACACAAACTTGACTTGAACTTTGAGTAAAGCTAAACAGCCTCTACCAATAATAACAAACTCTCACTTGAACTTCAGATATCTTACGGCTTCCACGAACTTGTAAACACAGAACCTGAAAATCGACCTTCGTCACACTTGACAAAACACAGCAGTCCAGCTCGTGGAAAAAAACTTAGATCGTCAAAAGAACTCGCTGGGAACTTGCATACCGTTTGACATAAGGCTCTAGAAAATACTAAACAGGCGAATAGTAGTAGCTTTTCGACATATTTTATGATTTCAGTAACTGATACAAATCTGCTGACTCATGCTGAAATGCAAACATGGCCTAATTAATTATTCATGTATAATCCAAAAGCGTAGAGAACGTTCAAGAAAGTCACGTAACGCATGAAAGCAATTTTACTACGTAACACTCAACAAAGACAAAATGTCTTTGTGCAGCATTTTGTAACTTTAAATTCATCATAAAACAGTTCGAAAGGAGGGCTCACTCGTGAAATGTTTTTCAACACAAACACAGCAGTCCAGCTCGTGGGAAAAAACTTAGTTCGTCAAAAGAACTCGCTTGGAACTTGTATACCGTTTGACATAAGGTTCTAGAAAATACTAAACAAGCGAATAGTAGTAGCTTTTCGACATATTTTATGATTCCAGTTACAGATGCTGAAATGTAAACATGCCCTAATTAATTATTCATGAATAATCCAAAAACGTAGAGAACGTTCTAGAAGGTCACGCAACGCATGAAAGCAATTTTACTACGTAACACTCAGCAAAGGCAAAATGTCTTTGTGCGACATTTTGTAACTTTAAATTCATCATAAAACATTTCGAAAGGAGGGCTCACTCGTGAAATGTTTTTCAACACTCGAAGAGAAATTTCGTGTCTCTGCGCGGCCACGAAATATCCTCTGTTTATTCCTCGAGTAATTAAAGACTAAACTCGAAGTGATCTCAAGATATCACGAAGTAGTCCGGTCTTGTTTCGTGAAATAGTTGAAACAAGCCGAAAAGTCACGAAATTGCACGCCCAATCTTGTCCCGAGACTAGTGCATCATTTCATAACTATTTTTCATATCCCAAGCTACCTTGGGTCGCAGTAGCGCAATCGGCTAATCCCTCAACTTAGAGTCTCCTCTGATCTGATGGGTCACACAGGTGAGTCGGTTAAAACCCCGGGAAAGCCAAAACAATATTTCTTTCTTCCTCGAAAAAGTTAAAGAATAAATCAAAGAAATCGAAGTGATCTCGAGATATCTCGAACTAATTCAGCTCTCACTTCGTCAAATAGCCGAATAGAACCGAAAACCTACAGACTTTACATGCCCAATCTTGTCAAAAAATTGTAACTTTGATACATTCCTGAGCGTCGCGAATCCTTTACTTCGCGCTCCGCCGAAGTAATAAGGTGATTACTAGTCCAGATGCTCCACCACTGAGCTACAGGAGACTTTGTGCGCTTTTGAAAAGTCAGAACTGGCTGGCCAGACCATGGCTGGACCAGTCATTTTGACAAAGCAGTACGCTTTTTCCAAGAGTGTTTGCTGAAAAATCATCTCCTTCGTGCATACTATTTAGGATTTGACATATCTGGCTGGATAGTTTTGATTAAAAGTGAAAGTCTCTTTACGACAGGAATGGTCTGGCTGGTCAGTTCTGACAAATGGAAAGCATCCTTAGATGTTCAAATCTTATTCAGTCACAGGCTGAAATTCTAGTTGCCAGCTCTCAGTAATATTTTTAGGCACACTGGCAACCAGCTGGTTGCAATTTCGGACCCTGACAAATTACTTTGTGTCCTATATATAACCCTATGATTAAGTAACATGTTTATACTAAATTATTGCAGGTTTTACCAATGGCACACCGTGGCTGGAAGTCAATTCAGACTACAAGACTGTTAATGTGAAGACAGAGAAGGCCGATCCTAAATCATTCTACAGCAATTATGTCAAGCTGGTAAACCTGAGGAAGAAACCTGCCTTTGCCAGTGATGATATCAAAATCGTTCACATAGATAAACATGTGCTCTCTTATACCCGTGGTAGCGACGCTGACCAGTACCATGTTGCCATCAACTTCGGAAAGGCCATGTGGACAGGTGATTTTGAACGTCTTTCTGGGAGAGGCATGGTTGTTTTTGATAGCGAAGGTGAGCAAGAAAACTCTCAAGTGGATGTTAACAGAATCAAGCTCAATGTTGGTCAGGTTCTCATCGTGAGTAGAGGCAGTGAAAAGTGGCATGAAAAGTAACAACTGGAAGAGACAAACATTGTACCCTAGTATAATAGAATTTCATTTGAACTTGTTAGACTAAAATCCATCACATTACCTCCTGCATATTTATGAATTTCATGCTTAATTAGGTGCCTTTGAAATTTATAAATAACAGCCAGCAGTCACAACTGCAACTCTGGAGCTATTCAGTGCTATGAAGTGGCTGTAAACAAATTTCATGGCTCATTCTCTTTTTATTTTGCTTTGTTTTTTCATCGTTCTTGTTGATGGCCAGTGTCATGTAATTTAAACCAGTTTATTTTGTTATTTATAAATTATTATTTTCTGGCAAAATAATGTAAGTGAACATGAAAATGTGATAATATATAAATCTAGCCAAGCCTAAAGAAAAGCTTTAGATTAAAGGGACAGGTTCACGGTTCAGCGCATGCTCGTTTATCAAAATACTGTTTTTCTACTGGGACATGATGTATCGTCTATGCAAGCAATATGATCATGTCATGATGTTCTCAAAGAACCAATCTGCACATTTCCTTGGCAGTCACTTGCACTTGATCAACTTAAATATTTGCAAATAGCTGTAAATTAATCAACCATAGAAATACACGTCTACTGTGAAATACACTCTGAGATCACTGAGATATATGTGTAAGTGATAGAGTTAATAATAAATTGGAAAAAGTATTTTAATTAATGAGCACACGCTTAACCGTGAACCTGTCCCTTAAACCGTAATTATTACTTACTTGGCTACCATAATGATAATCATGGTTTTGTCACACAATGTATCATAACAGTCCAACCCTGTTTATATGGACACTGAGGGGGCCATAGAAGATGTTCGTATTAAAGGGATGTCTGTATTAAGTGGGTTGAAGTTAGAGAAAATCATAAGGACTTTCTTTCCCTTGGGACAAAGCAAACTCAGGGTGCAAAGAAAGTCAGTTTTACAGCCTGCTATTTGGGCAAGGTGTAGCTAGCATTTACTAGCTCACAAGTCATTTCAACTAGCCCCTAAACCCTTTTTGATTAGCAGGATTGATTACAGTCCCTCTGTAATTTGAATTTCCCTAAAAAACAGCACTTGCCCTGTCGGGCAAGTTAAGAACAAAAATCACTAGCCCATTAGCAAAATCCACTAGCCCCCGGCTATCGGACACGACTTTGTTTTCACGCTGAAACTGTCCGTGACAATGAGATGTTGGGTGTGTTTAAAGCAGGGATGGCTGTAGTGAGTAATGCTGTGCACAATTTGTTTCAGTTTTATTCTTGGTTACATTTTTTATTTTCCTGTTTTTCAAACTCGTTATCATAATTATATTACTACGGGAATAGCCTGAGACAAAAGAAAGATTTAATTTAAACCAAGGACAAAACTGAACCACAACATTATACAAATCATATGTGTTTGTGAATTTTTGGTAAAACTCATTTGTTAATTGACATATTCAGTCAATAAAATGATTGATTTGAAGTATTAAATACCGTACTTGTGATTATTTGAGTATCCTCGTACTGGCAAACATAGCTTGGCAATGGCAGAGTGGCATTAGTTTTTTAGCTGCTTAGTTTATTTTCGTGCTGTTTGTTTTTGGATTTGAAGTATAGCAACTGACTACATACAAAATCAACTCGACGTATATCATATTTCCTCGAATAAGCGCCCCCTCCCCTCCCCCTCACTTTTTCAAATGAAAAATGCGACGATGTGCATACCATTGAGTAGGATGATCTTAACTCGAGGACTATATTATTATTAATCTTACGTCTCTATTAAAGATTTCAATTATAGCCAAAACAAAGTGACACTTCGTAGCCTGAGAAAACAGCCAACATTTGGCGATGCTACCACTGGTTTCCCTGCCAAATGACATCTGAGAAACGAGCGCAGAAATTCCATACTGATGACACGTCACTACCCAGATCTAGGTAGTGCTTCTTATTGGTTGAGTCAAATTTCCCACGCGGCGCGAGAAATCAGCACTACCCAGATCTGGGTAGTGACGCGTCATCAGTATGGAATTTCCGCTCTCCTTTGTCAGACGTCTTTTGGCTGGGAAACCAGTGGTAGTGTCGCCAAATGTCGGCTGTTTTCTCAGGCTATACACTTCGTTGAAAGGAAAAACTTAATAAGCGGCCCCTCCTCTTATCTGCTATTTTAAATAAGCACACGAGCGCTTATTTTTTGTCCAAGATTGCAAGCTTTGAAATAATGAATAAAAAACTTAGACCCACTCCCTCCCCTCCCCCAAATAAAGGATGGGAAATTGGCATGTTTTCTCTTCGCGCGGCTTCATCCTTGATTTTGGCCTGGGTGCGGGTTTACCGTTCCATTTCAAGTGGCGAGTGAGGGAAACGAATGGAAATTACCATGATCTTTCTCCCCCACTGCATCACTTTCATACTGTAAACATTGTAGCAACTTTCCCTATCTTCATTAAATATCCCGTAAAGGGACTCCGTTGTCATCCTAAATATCAGGGAATGGGATTCACGTTGTAGGAACTTTTCTAGCCTGTTTGGGGAAAGGGTAAAAAAATATTTCCCACTTTCCAAGAACTTTTCTTTTTTTTCCCAGCAGGACCCTTTGTTCCACGACAGCGAAGCGCCTGGGTTCTAGGCAGCGCGCTACTGGGGATGAAATAAAAAGGAGCAAACGCAAAATACAAAATGGCGGAGAAATCGGGAGCTTTCTAGATGATCGGTCATTTGGAATGGCGCACACAGATGACCAATGGGTCAGGCTGTTTAATGTATCGGATCCGCGTAGAGCTTATGCCGGCCATACATTGTATAAAGTTACTTCCAAGGTAACGAAAATCGTATAAATTTTAATTTTGTAATTGCATGGGTGTCTCAAGCAAGGGATCAACTGTCCACCAATTTGAGTTTCATTCTATACTTGTGTATTTGACAAGTTAATGAAATTTTTGTCTTTCCTGATGGCATTCCCTGGTAGAAATACCCTTTGATTTCTTCCATTTAACCTACTTTTAACTACGTTAGCTTAAACCCAGTCTTCAAAAAACAATCTTATTTGACGTTTTTTATTACGTTCGTGTCGCAGGTGTTTCAAAGAGAATTTCCTGAGGGAGCGACTGAGGTATGTTTTTATTATTTGCCAATTTTATCTCTCCAATTTTTTCATCCTGCTTGGAAAATCAATGATCAAAAATGGAAAAAAAACGTGCTTGAATCTATTTATTCTGCAAAAATAATGCATGCGCAATGAAACAAATGTTTTGCAATTAAGCCACTAACTGTGAGGTCTCTCGCAGTAGGAAATTTCAAACGTCATTTAGTAAAATACATAAAAACAGGTACGGCCTGCAACCTTCTTTAAGATGGATACCTTTTGGTCAGCAGCTCAGTTGGGGTGAGGACAAAACATGGACCCGGAGTCCATGGACAGGGTGCAAAGAAAATCATTTTCCATTTCGGTAAGCTGAAGCTAGCATTTACAAGCCCAGGCATCATTTCAACTAGCCCCAAAAGCTTTTTGACGAGCAGAATTGACTTCACAGTTCTTTTGTGATTCAAATTGCTCAAAAAACATCACTTGCCCGTTGGGCAAGTTAAAAACAGAATTCACCAGCCCGATAGCAAAATCCACTAGCCCTGGGCTATTGGACATTACTTTCTTTGCACGTTGATGGATCCCCCATTTCGTTGGACTGAGCCCATGGACCCCCTGTAATGGACTAGGTTCATGCCCCCCTAAAAGAAAATTAAAGAAGGAGAAATGAATAATAAACATGATGCAAATAAACAGCGTCCATAGTTTTAGTGACAACTCCGTGTCAAGGTATTGGTTGGCCAGTCATTTCGACAAGTGGATGGCTTTCAAATAAATAACTAGAATAATAATGCATCAGTCAATTCCAGCTCCAACCATCCATGAATTCAAATTTCCACCTTAAAACCGAAATCTGTTTTCAGAAATGTTAGTCTGATAATCGCTTAGTGCATGAAACTCTGAGTTACAGCTGTACAACTCTATTAACTTCCATCCTTTGAATTTGTATTTGTGTTACCTTTATTATTTATGATTATGATAGTTTTAATTTTTTTTTGTCTCCTATAACTCTAATGATATACTTTATGAATAATTTCATCAATTTCCTTTGTCCCCATCCTTATAGATCCAAGGGCAGTCAGTGGGGTGGGGAGAAACAGCACAACAAAATGTTTCCACACAAACATTTTTATAGCATCATTCATCCCACCCTGACCGACTGTCCTGAGAATACTTTATCTCTTAACTCTATATAATTTGTCCATGATATGAATAATGCCATTAGTTTGATCTATCTCCTAACCAGCTTAATTATTCATGATTAGGCAGGGGTTTTAATAAGCACCGACAACCACAAAAAGTGTTGGCTACACTGCTCAGAAAAGTCGGCTACTTTTTTCCCCAAAGAAGGAGCAACAAGTTTTAACAACATCGTATACGAATAATATATCATTATAACAAGAGATCATGTGATCTCTTGTCATAAAACCTGATGAAAATGTCGTTATATGTTTTCACAGGCCTATTATGTGAACGCTGTAGATCAGTCAATTTTTCACATGCACGTTTCATTACAGCTTTACGCAGAATTTGTTCGTGTGCAAGTGAACGTTATGTGATGATTTTCTTTAATTTTGTTCATTACTTGTAGGAGTTGATTCAGTGGCTGATAAACTGAAACTTAAATTAACATTACATTTTGTTGAGTGTACTCAAATGTTCTCAATTTAGTCCGCAGAATGCTCGAAATGGCAATTTAGGGCTTTTCAATTTCAAAATTTTCTGGGAGACCCCCATAAACAAAGGGACTAACACTGGGTCTCTTGATACAGTCAGTTACTCTATTCAAACCTGCTGGCTACTTCAATTATTGTTATTGAAACCCCTGATTAGGAATATTTTGTTAGGGTAATGTTAGGAGACAAAGGAGATAAAGAATCAAACTTGATTGAAACCATCTGAACTGTAATGTTTGCATGCTGAATTTATTCCAGATAGCAGTATGGCGACGATTTACTGACTTCAAGAAATTGCACCAAGAACTACTGAAGATCTACTCATTTAAAGATCTCAAAGAAGAACTGTTCCCACCTTTCCCAAAGGCAAAATTCTTTGGTAATAATATTAAGGTGTTTTGATAATGGCAGGTTACAGTACACCTAAGGGGCTGTTTACATGAAGCAGGAGATCTTAGACACGGATCATCCTAGCGCCATATGTTTTCTGTATTCAGTTTACATGTACATGTTACAGGTCAACTATGATTTCAGGTTAATTTTGATTTAACCTAGGTTGATTCTCAATTTCTTTTGTTTCCTAGCCCTAATTAATGAATAATTAGGGCTCGGAGTACTCTGGGTACCAGAGGTTTTTCTCGCGCCTGCAGCGGGAATTTTCAGTGACACATTTTCGGCCGTAGGCTGAGGCCACGAGTGGTAAAGCCGGAAACCGTGCGAGAAAAGTCTCTGGCACCCAGGGTAGGCTCGGAGACAAAGGAAATTGAGAATCAACCTAGGTTAAAAAAATGTAACTTGTTGGAATTTTATCCTAGCGGGGCCTCAATAATGCAAAAGAAATGCACTAAGATCTCTTAACAAAATAATGTAAGTGCTGGTTGGCTTTCCAGTTCTCCCATGTCTTATACTGTATTTTCAGGTCGTTTTGAAGAGGGAGTTATTGAAGAGAGAAGAAAAGCTGCATTGGAGCTTTTGAACTTTGCTGGAAATATACCAGATCTTTTTACTAGTCAGCCGTTTGTGAAGTTCTTTGAGGTAACGAAGAGCAGTTTGCTTGAACAAAATCTTGTTTGATGATGGGGCAGATGAATGTCAAAATGTAGTATTCTGTTCATTTAGGCACTGTAGCAAGTTGACCCTATGTTCATTTTATACAAAACTAACAGTTGAACTGCAATGTAGGGACACCCACTTAATATGGACACCCATTATAATGGACAGTTTTGTTTGTCCCAATGAAAAGCTGATATTTTCTCTAAAATTAGCCCTCTTAATATGGATTGGTTCGTGGACACTTTTCTGTGTCCTGAGTCACAAACTCTACCTGGTTACCTGCACACTGTCAATTTACCTTGTCACGTTGACAATGATGTACATATTGTTTACAAAATTTAATAATAATTCTCAGATTTCTATTGGTTAATGTGATTTTATCATGTAACATATAACAATTGTGTGATAAGTGTACAGATTGTAATCATTTGTATACAAAGTAAAAACTAAGAACCTGCATTTTGCCAAGTTAGGCTAAACAGTTTCTTCCATAAATGGTAATTAGCACAAATTTAGGTGATTTACATGTAGGTTTTACAATTTATTCAGGATTTAGGTTCTTATTTCCTGAAGAAAAAATGAATTGTGACTAAAGAGTATTTCGCGGTATTCTGCTCATTCATTAGGAAAAATCTATATCCCATTACAATTGCAGTTGGAGTAATAAGGCACCTATGTCTCCAAAAAGGATCCTGAATGTTGGCTCATCTTAATAGCCCAAGTGTACAGAATTTTTTTTTGTAGATTTTAGAAAATAAAAACATGTTTCAAATTTTAGGTTAAACATATTATTGTACAGAGGGTACCTCACTGGCAATTAATTTTAGCCTAACAGGTTCTTAAAAACCAGGGTCTTAGTCGTGGGTTAAATTTTTACTGTAATTCTTTGCTTTCCAGGGGGGATTCCCTGATAGCCCAATTCACAGTGATAGTATTGCCAGCAGAGAGAGCAGCTTGTCAGATGCAGAAGGTGAAAGCCCTCCACCAACAGCTGTCTCTGTCCAAGATGAAACCCATGACAGTAGTATCAGGATTGAGCGCCAATCTCCATCACTACCATGTACTTCAGGGAAAGAAAATGGTAAGATTGATCACTGCATTTGGCAAATATTTAGTATTAAATACCAAATATTTGCCAAATGAAGAAAACAACTACGACATAGTATATTCTCCATACAAACAATATTGAAAGAAATTTGAGTTTATTAAAATTTAACAATATTGAAAGAAATTTTAACTTATTTACATTTTAGCCTGCGAGCAAGCTCTTCGGGGCACTGTGGCAGTGGGGCGGGAAAAGGAAGGAGAGCTTGCAACTACGCCAATGGTATTTGAATATATCTGCATTGAAAAAGTCAATGCGAAATGCTGATTGGCAGAGATGACATTGGCAATGATCTTTTACTTGTTTTTCAATGTTAGTTTGCATTCATACTCATTTCCACTTTGCGCTGATTTGCGGAAATCTGACAGCTCAGTCAACGGGGAACCACAAAGGAATTGGAGGCGGAATTCAAATTTCAGAGATGTAGTTGCAAGCTCCCCTGTCTTTTCCCGCCCCGCCGCCAGAGCACCCCAGTGAGCTTGCAGGCTATTTAAGTTTATTTCAAAATTTTAATTTCTTTAAATTTATTTTGAACAAATTAATTTCTTCCAGTATTGTTTCTACGAAGACTATACTATTTTGAATTGTTAAAATTTTCTTGTGTGTCTTAGTTATATTTTCTTTATAATTTATTTACTTATAAATGCATGTTTTTTTTAAGGTGATAATCTGGATGAAGCTTCATTGGGAGGGGTTTGGCTCTATAAACAACCTTCTCTGACAGAAGGTCTTGACAACCTCAGCTCAGATGAAGAAAGTAATGAGTGCCAAGAACCAAGTGAATCAGCACTGTCAACAGCCGAAAATGAAATTAAACCAAACAACTTAACTGGAGAGCCAAATGAAGAGTTTGTCGTGAATACTGAAGGGGACCAGGATGATGTTTTTATGGATGAAGCAGTTGAATGTTCAGAAAGTGACTTTTTGATAACAGAGAGGGAGAAACGAGACAGCAATACACAGCCTCCAAACTGGCTTGTGCGAGCGATTTCAATCTGTAGTGAAGGAGAGGATCTAGAAGCCCTTGCTTCTGAAGCTGACTCAGAAGAGCTTTCTTTCCCACAAGCTTTTTCTGATTATAGTTCCTGCAGTGGTGAAGAAAGAACTAAAGAAAATGAGTCGTTAGAGACGGTTCATGAGAACCAATTCCATGATAAGTCACAATCTTACTTGTCTGCTGACTCTTACCATGCTCTAAATGTACATGACAATGATGACACTGAAAATTTACCTACAGAATGTTCTGTGTCTTGTGATCATGGACAAGACAACCATCGTGGAATAGAAACAGGTCTTGACAAAGCAAGCCATATGATAAATCCTCCAGCAAAACCAGAGTCGTCTAATTCAAGCTGTAGCACTGGTGCCCACTCCGATAAAGACTCTCATTCTCTGAAGGATGCCTCTTTTGGCACTGCAGACAAACAGTCATTCACCAGCTCAAGTGATTCCGGAAAGGCATCAACACAGCGGAGACCTATCTACGACTTAGGGAACATCTTCATTGATTGCAAAGAGAGCGATTATTTGTACATGGCAGGGCACACAATTCATAAAGCACTTGATTGTGAGGTTAGCGGCAGATATGAAGAAGCATTCAGTTTGTACAAGACTTGTGTTAGCTTGCTTTTGAGTGGTGTACAAGGTAACCATCATATTTCGTTTTACAAAAATAATTTAGCAGCACTATTATTATTATTATTATTATTATTATTATTATTATTATTATTATTATTATTATCATCATTATTATTATTAGAGAAGTAATCGGTGGCATTCAGACGTCTTTGATGTGGACACTCTGTTATGGTATACATACCGTATTACTGATTCCTCAAAATGTGGGCCTTTCACCCTGGATTATAGAAAACATTGATTTCGACTAAATTAAGGTTATTTTCTTGTGTAATTAAGTTCAATTACTCACAAATGAAGTTGTCTTGTTTTTTTCTGGTCAATTCTTCCTGTGTATTCCTTGTAAAGCCTCTATATACGCTCTGTTTTGATTCAGAAGTTGATCAGCATTTGTTATGTCTTGGTACGCGAGCGTTCTCTTCCAATCCTGAGGTGTGGGCACTGAGCGTGTGGTATATTCTCCTAAAGACTTCTGGGTGGGAAACAAAACTCCAGTAACCGTGTTGGGCTCATAAGAGGTTACAGTGCCCACCTCCTTATAAGGAAACAAAGGATGCCTGCTACTGGGGGCCTTACATATCATATTCTGCATAACACTAGTCACGTGCCAAAAGCACACCATACTCATGAGAGTCTGATTCGATTCCGGCATAAGCATCGGCAACGGCAGAGAAAATTTAACCCAAAAAGTGGATTTGCTCTGATTCGTACTTTATCGCCCTTATTCCACCTCTTTTAATTTGCTAAATGTTGGTGATTTTTCAGGAGTTGAATTCTAAAGGATCTAAGTTCACAAAAGGAAAAAGAAAATCATTGACTTGTGTCTACACCCTCCATAAAACCTGAAATTAGTGGAAGTTTCACGTAGTAGTAGTGCAGTGATGGAAAAGAAAATCTACAAAAAAGTGTGATCAATGCATGTGCAACGCTGCTGTTTTGTTAATCTAAGCCTATTGCTTTTTTTCTTAGCTTGCTATTTTGCGACTATTAGATAGTTCTACTCATAGATAGTTTTAATAATCACAGTGCAACCCAGAGTAAGAATTTGTTACCTGGTCATTCAATTTGCAGGGGAAAAGGACGTCAAGAGAAGAGAAGCTGTAAGACGCAAAACAGCTCAGTACCTTTTGAAAGCTGAAGCTCTCTATAACGCATATCTTACCACCAATGAATCACAGGATGAGAAACCAGAGCAGGTACTGACCAATTCATCTTGTTAGAACTGTTCAGACTGAAACTGAAATTAATTTTGCAATTGACTTTAATAATGTCAAACTTCCTATAAAGAGGAATGTAATGAACTACAGGGTCTAAAATTCATGGTTGTCCAGTTGTCAGATATGACTGTAATGTTTACAGTGATGACCAAATCACAGAACGTACAGTTGTAGTTGCCCATTGGATGACTGCAATTGAAGCTGCCAATATCATTAAGATGTGATCAGTTATTATTATCTTTGGTTGAGATTTCTGCTTTAGAAGTTGTACAGTGTAATGTACTGTATAACCAGTCTGTTTGGTGAAAGATTCACAAAGAGACTGAAAATTAATTTGGAGAGGGCCGGGGGCCATTTTAATAAAACTTTTCCAATTAGTGTAAATTAAAAGTGAGGCTATTGTTTTTATACTCTAAAACAATAGCTACAATTGTAAATTACACTTGTAAAAGTTTTATTAAATTGACCCCAGGAGCCTATGCAGCCATAGCTCAGAGCTTCAAAATTTTTGGTCATAGTGGAAAATTGGTTTACTATGGCTGTTACTGTTTGGCAACTCGATTTCACCCTGGACATATGAAATGATGGTTGTCCAGTGTGTATTAAACCTGGAACCATTATCGCTTTTCCAACTAGAATCTCTGGTTTCCCCATGTACATGTACGGCAGCCACATTTGGGAGGAGCGTCTGCTTCCATCCCAAACAGGGAAGCATATGATTACTTCAAGAAGCAGTGTGGGGGTTGGGGGGGAAGGGGGGGGGGGAATAATATATTAAGCAGGATAAGTAGGGAAAGGAGCACAACTTCAAAAGGGAAGGGGGAGACACTTTTTTAAGGAACGGCTTTATATTGAGGGGAGCTTATTTGGCAGTTTGAGCACGTTTTTATTTAATTTACAGTATACTGAAAATATAAGTGTACTACATGGGTTTGTGTTGAGTAGGGCAAGGGGCTCATCTTTAAAATGTACTTTAATAGGATAGGGGGAGGAATCACTTTTCAAGGGGGGTATATATTGAGGGGGGTTATTAAGTGGGTGGGGCACATGTTTATTTAGTTTAAAGTATACTGAAATTATTAGAATCACTGAGCTTTATTTGTTTGATATGTTGATTTTTGACAGGATTCTTCATCATCACATCCTAGTAACAGTATTTGTGACACTGATGATCAACATAAGTTTAAGGATCTCACTCTCACAGACTTAAAAGTTATGGGAATTGTTGGCAAGGTATTTAAATGTCTTTAGAGCGCTCATAATATTCCCTACTCACTAAAAATAGTTTTTTGCTGCTTGCATTTATAACTAATATTAATTGTGGCAATAAGTGAACTCACACAACAGGATGGGAGAGGAAAGACAATGGCAAACCTTGTGAGACAAGCATGACAATAATTTTGTTTGAATAAACCTTCACGCCAAACTTCACATACCTTTAAACAGATCTTTTGGTAGAAGAGCAAAAAACATGTTAAGTGAATTCCTGACAAAACACGTTTTTCTTGCAAGTAATAGCCCTGTCACGTTTATGACACCCACCATTTTGCTGTCCTCTCCTTTCTGCCGTCCTGTTGCATAAACTCACTATTATTGATGGCAGGCAGTGTTATTCAGTGGTCAGTATGCCCGAGTTGAGGCTCTGTTTGTGGGGAGTGGGGTACATGATCATGTCCCTGTTTAGAATTTCAAAACTGGTCATTTCATTTATTGAGGAGATCAGGGTCATGTCACCGATGGTTTTTCTACTACTACTTTTGCACTTGTCACTATCACAGTTTGAGTTCATCTTTATAAGTGTCGATGTCGCTACAAGGCCATGTTGTTGTTGGAATTTTACCTTATCTTGCAATCCAATTCCATGGTTTAGTCCCTTTCTGACCTCTAGATGGATTTCAGGGGTGGATCCAGGATTTTTCGTAGGAAGGGATGCACCGTTAAGGAATGGCATAACTGACTGGTGACATAAATAAATTATTTTAATAGCGAATACGAAGAAGAAGACTTTTGACTGGGCAATAACATGATGTGAACTGCTGAGAATACATATCATACATATCTGCATACTTTGCAGAATACCAGTCGTATTAGAAAACCACAGGTCATTTTGGGGCGGGGGGGGGGGAGGGATGTTCCCCCGCATCCGCCACCTAGTTGGCGAAACTGAAATGTCTGCATTCAGTTACAGGGTTTGCACAGATTTTTGAATCCAAAATTCAAGACTTTTTCCAGACTTTTTTTCCAAAACAAAAATTTATTTTTCCAGACTCAAGGTTATCAAATAGGGGATCAATAGAGACGTTTAAAAAAAGCAGGAGCAAAGCTTTTTCTTGATGCGCTGCACCCCCTCATCCTCCACCTAGATCCACCCTGGGATTTGTTTCTGACAGTAGTTCTGAGTTCAACTCCCTGGCTTCTGGCCTGTGGGGAGGAGGGGGGGGGACTGGAAACTGGGTGGTCCATAACTCCTGCTTCCCGTACATAACATTCCCATCTCCTGTCAATTTTGTCTTGGCCTCCTCTGTTAGCTCTTTTTTATTGCAAAAAAGTAAGCATTGGTGCAAAATTTAAACCTGCACAGTTACTAATTGCACCTTCTATTTGAAAATTTTTTTTCTGGATTGTGTTTGGATCATACCGCTTTTGTTTTTGAGACTCCAATACAGGTCTCGCAAAACGTCCCGTCCAACAGTCCAGAAAGTAAATTTTCTCGTTGGGTTCAAGCAAGTCATCCTCAAACAAAATCAGTTCCTAAGATGAGCATGAAGTGGCCCTGGGCAAGCAAAACTTGAGAGTGGCTTGTCCAAATAGGACAAGCTCACAATTTTTGCAGCCCTGAAAAGGAGAGGGAGAGGATAACGAGTTATTTATTTTAATAAATTTCAAAATGTTCATTCAGCTAAGGATGTGCTGTTTTCTCTTTGTTTCTTTAATTTGTCATTTATGTATTTATGTAGGTCATGCTGGTTGAAAATACCCACAATGGGGAGACATATGTTCTAAAGGTCTGTTAAACATGCTAATTTTTCCCTTAGTTATAATTATTAGCCAACATTGTATTTCTCCACAATACACGTGTGGTTTAGTATTAAGCAATCAAACGTTCAGGTCTTATGAACGATGGAATCGATTTCTCAATGCATGAGATACCTCTTGATTTTTTAAAATCTCGTTAGTACTATTGAGATAAACATCTTTCTTTGGCTGCATTGATCTTAGTGCATCACGCTGTATTCACCCTGCGGTCCTGTCTGAATGACTCAGAAAGCCAGGAAAGGGGACTTGATGGAGATAACAAACATTTTATGTAAAAAAAATAAATAAATAAAAATAAATTGGCATGAGACAGGCCAACCCTGTTAAGCCAACCATCTTGGCTAACCGGGCTGGCTAACCTCATATAAACAGGCCCTATGTTAAATAAATTTTTAAATGCCCTGATTGGGTCTTTGTTATGTCGAAGATTGTTCACACGTGTTTTTACTTTGTATAACCAAAACGTAAATTTATAGACTTACCTTAATACAAACTTTAAAATAATTTTTTACTAACGTCACTTTGTCCGTGCTGTTATATTCTCCTTGTTATGTCTGCATGTTCACGCCACAAACATAACCACATAGCTACATGTACCTTCTTATTTAATAAACTATACTTTGTCATTATCTCATGATGTCCAATTGTGAACCAGGCTTTTTAGCATAAGATATGCTTGCTTTTGACCAAATTTTCTGATCTGAAGCCCCATCACTTTTTAAAAATTGTTAGGCTACATATAAAAAAATATTTCAAATGATTTTAGGCTCTTTGCAAGTCAGGAGCAGTACGGCCACATGGCCACTCACATGGAAATGAGCGCCGGCGCAAGAAATCTGTGAGACGTCTCTATGTAAGTAAACCAAAAGTGCCCACTTTCACACTAGCTAAAGTGCATAATTTTAGGAGGTGCTCTAAAAAAAACTTGTTACCCCCCTCCCCCCTTACCTTCTGTTATAAAAAAAAATTCTCCAACACAGTCTTCATTCAGGTATTATTAAGTAACATGAAATTAGGGTTTGTTTATTCAAATCATGCACACCTCAATACCAACCACTGTTGCACAGTTATCAACAAATAATAGTTCCTGGGTTCTTCCCATAGTGGACATGTAGATGTCGTCATTTGATTGATACATTATCGCATGGGAAGCTTTACTTCTGGAAGCAGTTTGTTATCTTACTGCATTAAACACTGCATTTCAAAGCGCATATCTTTGTTATGCGTAGTCACTAAAACAAGGAGTGACCTACAATGATCTACAAAGACCCGCAATGATCTACACTGACCTACAATAAGCTACCATGGCCGAACGTTGGGACCATAAAATAATGGTGAAGGTCCCTGCTGTGATCTAAAATGAGGATAGGAATAAGACAGAAAAAGATCCCGGGGGGACAAGTTTGATTACATGTAATGATGATGTTAATAATAATGATAATAATAATGTCGCCAAAAAAACCTTTGGATGATTTTCCTGTGTTATAACATTATCCGAAAATTTGCTTGACAATAGTCAAGTTTAGATTTGGGTCATTCTCAACCTTGTAAAGAGTATTGACTTTAGCTCAGCAACATGGTTTTGATTGATTCAAGCAACAGATTTGCCCATGCAAGCGCAGGAAAGAATTTGCACTGCAAAGATAATGCATAAGTAACGAGCTATGTTCCTTCTTCCTACATGAAGTCATCCAGATAGGTAAAATTCCTTTTCTTGAGTGATTCGACAAAACAAGGTAATACTACGTAAAAACGCGATTGCAATAATTTATTTTGAAAATCCTGCCACTTCTCAAGTTACCTGAGATCAGGTTCTATGTTTGTTTTTGCCTTATTAGAAATGTGCCTGCATGGCAAGTTTCCTCTGAAAATGTGAGCCAAGTGTCGCGTCCAAGCGTGATATTTGTGTCTCGTTTAGGGAAACCATCCAGCGCCACACGACACACATCGTTGTATGTCATTTTTGTAGCTGTTTGTGGAGAATTGTTTTTGTAGCTTATTGTAGGTCATTCCCTGTTTTTTAGTAACTACGCCTTTTATGACATTTACAGCCAAGTTGTTTTATGCAACTCATCTGTAATATTCTCCTTTCATCTTTGTTTGTTTGTTTTTTTTTTTTCATTTTAGGGCAAGTATCCAAACATAGTTCAACTCTTTCGGTATTTTGAGACAGGCAGCTCTATTTACCTTTTATTGGAATATGCACGGGGCGGTAGGCTCTGGGATCATATTGCCTGTTACCGTAGTAACCAAGAGTCACATGCCACTGGAAATGCCCGTGAACAAAACAGACTGGGTTTGAAAAAGACTACTCATGATCAGTGTGACAAAAATGATGAAAATGATGCAGTTAATGTGAAAAGAACTTCTTACCAAGAAGCAGGAAAAGATTTGGCAGAAGACAGAGTTCCAGAAAATATAACTAACAATAACGCTAAAAATTTATGTAGTGGACAAGCTAGCGAGGACTCCACAAAAACTTCAAATGTCTCCCTAGTACAACCAGAGCTTAGTACAAAGACTAATGGTGTCACCAGCCCTTATAATGGCAATAATAGTGAACTGTCTGTTACAAAAGAAGGGAGTAAAGGAGATAAGGACTTGGTGAGGACGTGCACTGAAAAAGCAGAAGCTGACGCTTCTCGCGACAACAAGCACCTTCTGTTCTTGAAACTGGATGAGTATTTTGCTTCATCGTCGCAACGTTTACCAGATGAGAATGTTAAAATTTGGGCGGCGGAAATTGTGTTGGCTGTTGCTTACTTGCATACGTCTGGAATAATTTGCAGGTAACAAAAGTTTTTTAAAAGTTTAGGTACTTCTTACTTACTTTCGGTCGACGCCTAGAAGGCAACAGGAAGAAAACTGACCCCATATGCATAAGGCCCGATCTCTCATACAGCTTTCTGGATCTCTAACGTTCTCCACACCAGTGTCCCTCATCAGTGTGTTTCTGTGGGCAGTTGTCAGACTTCCTCTCTTAGCCCTTCCATGTCTAAGCACCCATGTTATCAGCTGTTGCACTGGAGAGCTTTCACCACGAAAACATGTCCAGAAAGAGTAATTCTTCTTTTTTGAATGGTAGTGCTCACCTCTTCTAAACTGCCAAAGTTTAAGTTTATGTTTTATCCCAGCTGTTAATATCCAAGGTCGTTGATTTGATTTTTGTTGGGGACTCAGTTTCTTTTTGCCAAGAAAGCTCTTCAACTAGAGATTTTACTCTGACAACTAAAATGCTCTTTATGATAACTTGCATTTTGCATTTCTCACAGAGACTTGCACCCTAAAAATGTTCTCCTTGACGAGGAAGGTCATGTTCTTCTTACATATTTTGGTTCATGGGAAGAGACAGAGCATGTTCCTGACGAAGAAGCTGTGAACCATTTCTACTGTGCTCCGGGTTAGTAACATAAAATGTTAACCCTTTAAGCCCCAGTATTAACATACAAATTCTCCAAACTGATCTCTCTCTCTTGAGAGAACTTGATAAAAGATCAAAGCATTTTCTCCTAGGTGATCATTTTATTAATTCTCATAACCTAATCTCTTGACATTGTATGGATATCGTTGGGAGAAAATTGATGTTGGTCACTATTAGGCCTTAAAGGGTTAATGTAAAGCGGGAGTCTTAACCCTTGAAGTCCCAAGAGTGACCAACATCAATTTTCTCCCAACCATAGAGAGCTCATTTTTGATTTGAGGACGAGGAAGACTACGAGTACGAGATTTAACTTAAAAGTTTTTTCGCGTATTGTCGAAAAATGTTCAACCTGGAGAGCTTCATTATACTATTTTTCACCTGAAAAATTAGTGCGGTTATTTTTATTGGAGGAGCTTTAGCTCTTTCCCGGTTGCAAACGATTAAACTTCTAAAATTTGATATTTTGTTTCCGCCACTACGACATTCTCGCTAAAACTCGTAGTAGAAGTTTGATCATAGTTTGCGACCGGGTAAGGGCGAAACCTTATTCAATGAAAATAGTCCCACTAATTTTTTCAGGCGAAAAATAGTACAAGGAAGCTTTCCCGGTTGAACATTTTTCGACAAAACGCGAAAAAACTTTAAGTTAAATCTCTTACTCGTAGTCGTCGTCGTCCTCAGATTTAAAGCTCTCAAATGTATGTTACTTTAAATGCCTGATCAAACAGTCATACAATTCTCACAAAACTTGTGGGATGTGAAGACCATGGTAATTCAAACAATTAACTCTTCAACCCCCAATTATAAAATACAATTTCTCCTTTCTTGTCGCTTACTTTTCTTATAGGAATAGTGGGAAGAATTTGGTAAAATATCATGAGCATTAACCCTGGGTTGTCAGATCCTTATTTCTCAGTGCGTACCTCTCTGATTGATTATGCTTTGAAGTTTTGAGGGGAAATTTAGTAATAGTTATAATTGGGGCTTCATAAGGTATAAATTATGTTCATCATCACATAAGAAAACAGCTTTGTAATTCTGAAAACAAAAGAGATATGGCCTGCCTTGAAGATGTAAGTTAACCCCGGCTAGTGACATCTGACAAGCAGCAGGCAGCGCCGAGATACTTGTTCTGGCCCACAGTGGGCTCAACAAATTACTTGTTTAAATTAATGTACTTCTCTAATGTGTAATGCTTTCTTTGTTACGGTTAAATTCGTCAGAGATTTGGCAGATTGATGAGATTACTGTTGCAGCTGACTGGTGGAGTGTTGGAGCTCTCCTCTATGAACTGATTACAGGGCAGGTTAGAGTCATGTATTTATTGCTGCGCAGCTACCGAAGGGAGCGAGCAGCAACATAATCAGGATTTAAAGGAAATATATAAGGGGCGACGAATTGTCGAATTCATCACTTTTTACCACAATGCATTGCATTTAACCACATTTTTTACCACAATGCATTGCATTTAACCAGAGTGCATTGCGCCACGAACAACTCAAATAAAAACACGGGAAAGTTCGGTGGGTGAGAGAGTGCATCGTTCGCTGCTCAGACTTAGAGTTTTCTTTGTGGCAAATTTTCTACAGCACGGTTAGAAGTCTTACCAAATTTTAAGACACGCAGGAGTCTTTCAGATGAGTACGATGGTTAACTTGGGGATTGGATTTCAATTCAAGAGCCTTTGACTCGTCCAGGTGTTAAACCTGACGAGAAGATGAGCATTTGCTCTTCGACTCCGCAACACGGGGGATATACAAATTCCAGTTTGCTAGAAGGTGATGTGAAAGTGAGAAAATGTCATGCAATGCTATTCTTAAGAAACTGTATGAGCCGAAAATGGATGTGATTTTGACCATTCGCTTCAAAATAACAGCGGAAATCGAGATAACAAAACATATGTTTTGTGTCCTACTTTGCATACGAGGACGTGTATCGGCGTTTTGAAAAGCATAATTATGTTCTTTCATTCATTCATTGCCATGGAATATGCGTTTACATTGTTTTTTCACTGTTAATAGCTCGGTTAATGCGGCTGGCGATCATCTTGCCGGCGGAAGTTTCATGGAAAAGGAATAAAATGAAAGACTTTTCCTAACGATTTCGTAATCAGCCTCTGTGGTGAAGTGGTTAGGTGTAGTCGCGTCGAGTCGAAGGTGCCGGTTCGAGTCCTACCGAATTATTGATTGCTTTTTTTTTCTTTCTGTTTTTTGTGTTGTTTTCTATAAATATATAGCTAAATAACTGTTACTTAATAAAGTGCAACAAACAGCAAGAAAAGTATTGTGTTTCCAGAGAAAATATCGTGCACCGCATATTAAATATATGGATAAACAATCTGATTTTCTATTATTTCCTACAATTTACTGTGCGAAAACCAGAGTTGATAACCACTTGATCATTTTCTAAACAACGTTCCCACGAGTTCTTTCTATAGACTGATAGTAATTATTCTAGTACTTTCCAACATGTAAATAGGACATTCAATGTCATTTTTGATTCTTTTAAGTCTCACTGCCTAACTAATGCCAGTATCAACAGAATGTGCCACAGCATTACTATCTTTTAGATACCCTAGTTTAGCTACTGTTTGCCAAAATACTTGAAAATTTAGAGTCTTCGAAGAGTGCAATGGACAAAAGTTCTTGGGACAGTAATGCAATTTTCAAAGTTTTCTTTCATACAGGGTTTTCTCATAAAACAGTGCATCCTTTTCGAGATTTTCTTGCAGTTCTCCCTCCCCCACCCTATACAAAGTTGAAACTCGGAAAAAATTCTGGATACACGCGTCCACTTTTGTCTGTGGGGTGAGGGGAGGGGTTGGGCCTCTATGCATTGGAAAACGCCCAGAAATGCAAAAGTGTCCCAATACTTAAATCCATGACTGAATGCTTAAACGTTATAATTTAGAGGACGTTGTTGACGTAAGTGTAGCTTCAAGTATACATAGATAAAGAATGACCACCGTAGTAATGTACACAATTTAAATGAGCCGTATCACCATCTTTTCTCATTGGTTTAAAACTCATTAAAAATACTGTTGAAGTTTTCCTTGCGACCTCTTTCGTAAGCGACCAGCTCTAGTTACGACCACCTTAGAGAAACCCTGTTTGAGCTGTGGCTTATATTTTGTTATGAAAAGCTCCCGTAAGCGACGGCAACCACTTTTGGGATTATCCAGCTGTACTTTTCCTTTGTTTTTAAGCTCTCATAAACGACCACTCAGACCCGATAATACAGGAAATGAGACGGCTTAAAAATCTCCTGATGCAGATCAACTTAGTCTTGTACTAATATTTTGATTAGGGGTTATTTCGGTCTAAAAAATTGGACGAAAAGTTTATCCGTGTCTTTGTCAGATATAAAGACAATCATTAAACATTTTTATTCCTTTTGTTTTTTCTTTATCAATTGTTAATGAGTTTCTGAAGCTCTCGTAAGCGACCACCCCCTATTGTGTTACCATGCGGTCGCTTACGAGAGCTCATTCTCGTAAACGACCAGCTCTAGTTACGACCACTTCAGTTTCCGAGGTGGTCGCTTACGAGAGCTTCGACTGTAATTAGAAACAAAGAAAACCTCCAGATAAATGGTACATAAATTGTAGGTACGTGTGTTTGATTTTTGACAAGCAAAAACGTGCGAACGGAATACAACATCAAAAATAGACCAAAACCTTTTCAGATTCAATTGTTGCATGCTTTTCTCCCTTTGAAATAGTTATGCCTTGATATGTTGCTTTTAGAGTTCCTAGTATGTTTGAATGTGGCTGAGAATACTTAAAGTTTCTTCATTTGCATGTTAGTTACTGAAGGGTATATTGTCTTTATAGTTAATTATTTTTAGTTATTTCATCACCCAATTGTTGAATTTTGCTTCTTTTATTTTATGCCTTTTCTCTTGACATTTTTTGGTCAATGTCGTTTAAAATCCAGGCCCTCTCAAGTGCACATCCCTGGGGAATACAAACTCACACCGAAATTCAGCTACCAATTAAGATTTCACCAGAAGCTAAATCGCTTCTAAGAGAGGTACGTAGTTTACTGTTAAAACATTTCACTTGCTTCGTACAGTGGAACCTCGATATAACGAACCTCTATACAACGAAGTCCTCGGTATAACGAACTGTTTTCTTTACCCCAGTATAATAGTAAAATAAATGGAAAAGAACTTCGATATAACAAAACCACGGTATAGTGAACAAATTTTGCCAGTCCCTTGGCCCTTTGTTACATCGAGGTTCCACAGTGTTGGAGAATGCAGTAGGGATCAATATTATTGGGACACTTTTGTATTGTTGGGTGGTGATATTCTGTGTACAGGGCCCCAAAAAGGACACTGTGGCAGCGTCCACACTTGGTGCCCGTGCACGTTGATGGAGTATGGTACTCGCTGGGCACTGGTGTGAACACACGTGGGTATTTTTTTAAGTACCCACGCCCGAATTAGAGGACGGCGCCAGTGCCCGAGTACTTAACTAGTAGAGTTGATATATTATAAAATTGTATATATAGTTTTTTCTTGTTTATTGCATAGGTGTATTTTCGAAGTATATTGAATATCGTGTATCTTTTAAGTAGTTTTAGAATAGTTAAATCTTATTAGCTTATAGTATTATGTATATATATTTCTTTTTAATAAGTAATTTAAGTAGTGTCCCCGATTAGTAGGCCTGACGGCAAGCTAGAAGATTAGACACTTAAATAAAGTTGATTGATTGATTGATTGATTGATTGTACAAGGTCGAGACCTTGTTTTCGAGCTCTTAATAGGTAGGCACCGAATCCCACTGGCAGCCGAAGCCACTGGTAGTGTCTATACCAGCTTTTTTTTTCTTTTTTTTTTTTTTAGTTTCGGGGTAATCAACTGCTTTGCACTCCCTGCAAAGTTTGTTAAGTTTCGAAATGGCGTCTGTCAGGGCGAAATAAAGTATCTGTGAACACAGTTACATTAGGTGTGTAAACAACGCCATTTTGTGCCAGCACTCAGGCATTAGTTCTGGACAGCTCCTGAGACGTAAAAGAATGTTTGGCTTCGAAAGTGGGATTTGCCCATCCTCCGCTAGACAGCGAGCAATCAGTTCGAAAACGTTTAAGTGATTCTTTGCTTTCTCTTCATTCAGCTTCTACGAGTAACACCCTCTGAAAGATTAGGTAAGTTGTCTCTGTTTTTCAAATAACACGCCCCAAAATGATATTAACACGGCAACACTAGACTACAGATTGAGTGCGTGAAAGTCTGGGATGAAAGAGTCGACAACCCATGCCACGTGACCACGTTACGACGACGGCAGCAAAAACTTCGCCCAAAAAGTGAATTTGCGCTGTCTTTATCTCCATCGCTCCTATTCCAACTCCATTAATCTGTCTGTCTGTTTTAAGGAGTTGTAGACTGCGAGCAGTCCGTCAGGATGGTCACGCGAGCGAGGAAATCGAGCGTAGCGAGCGAAAGCCGAGGGGAAGCTGGGGAGGAGGCGGGAAAGGAAGGAGGGACTGCCTCTAACTGCCCCTCGTCTTCCCGTCTCTCTCCAGTTTCCCTCTCGGCCAATTCGCTCTCTCCAGTTCTGCCGAGCTTAGACTAGACTGACTGAAGAGGGACTGCTGGCAGTCTAAAGCAGTTGAAATCCAATGACTCTATTTACATGTAAGTTCACCAAAAAAGAAGAAGAAAATCTCTCTTGTATTTACGTCCTCCAAAGCGTGAAATCAGGAAGTTTCACGTCGTAGTCGTGCAACGATGGCAACAAAATGGACCAAAAAGTCTGATGCACGTGCAAAATTGTTGTTTTGCTGCTTTAAACCTAAGGCCCTTTTGCAATTCTCGTTGCTTTTGCCGTCGTCGTGAGGTAACATGGGGCGGGTTAGCCCACCTAACATGTAAACGTGATCACATTAAAATGAGAGATTATATGGACAGGCGGGATACCCCACATAAGCGGGTTACCTCAACTATCTGGGTTACCCCACCTTCACGTAAACAGGCCCTTAAGCTCCCTATTAAATTTCAGCGATATCAGACTAACAAAAAAAAGCCTAGGGAGGCCTTTCAGTCTGTTTCTGCCACATTTAGCTGTTGTTAGTGGCGTATTGCGGTAACCCTTTTGTATTTTTTTTTTATCAAAAGGCTCTGGTGTTAATGGTGTGGAGGAAATCAAGTCGCATCCTTTCTTCAATGGAGTAAACTGGACATGGCTCTGTTCAAGAATAAGTTAACCATTCAAAGATTCAAATCGCTTGTAATTATGCTGAATACCAATTGACCCAGACAAAGAAAGACTCTTGAGACATAAGAGTTTCGTTTATTGTTAAAAATATTGTTGTACTTGTCTATTAATTAAATTGGCGTTGTAATGGTGCGCTTGTAGGGGCAAATCATCGTCAGTTTGCTTTTTGATGAATTAACCGCAAAATTAATAAGCAGAATTTTAGGAGAGAATATAAAATTTATGTTCACTTCGAGGGTAATGACAGAAATTTTTCTTTCAGAATTTTTTTTTTTTATCGAAGAATTTCTATTTTTTCCACTTCGCTGTCCCTCTCGCACACTAAAGAGAGCTTGAAGCGAAAGCTTTTAGGCAACAATTTTTCAGCAGAAAATTATCTTGTATATGTATATATCGTATCGTAGAATAGCTAGTATTTGAATGTAGATGCTGAATCAAAATTTACAGAAATTTTTGTGGTATAGAAATGTACAAAAAATCTTACAAATTTTATTGTATTTTTTTTTACAACGATTTTTGTCTTGTCACTACTAAGAAATTCAGTTTAGTTTGTTCCAGGATATTTTTACGCAAAGCAATATTTATAAACTGTGAGTACTATATGTAAATACTTCTTCAACAAACCAAAAGATCTGTAGCCTGCGAAGGAGGGACGAGGATAAACGGCTTTAGTAAAATCCAACTAGTGGTCTGTTATCAATGCTGCGTTCTGATTGGTTGAGCTACTACTAGGCTATATGTTATAGCCCACTTGTAGCGAAAAGCGCCGGCTTTTTGGCGGCAAAAAAGGGTTAAAGTCTAGCTTTAACTAGCTAAATTTTTTTATTCTCGATATTTCTGACCAACTAGTTGGATTTTAATAAAATGAATATTCCTCTCGCCCTCATGGCCTCTGAGTCAATAGCCCATTGGGCCTTCGGCTTCATGGTCTATTGACTCAGAGCCCATTCGGGCTCGAGGAATAATTGTTAAGTATTCGCAGGCTACAAGATCTTCCTTGCTTTTTTAGTGGCTTTCACTGCTTTTGAAAAGCTGAATCAGTATTTTGAACTAATCAACTCAATCAGTTTAAAAGGTAGTGGATTTCAGCAAAACGCCTTGTATTTCCATCCATCGAAAAATAATAAAAAGATGATAATAATTGAATAAAACTAAAGAGCAAGTTTTTATGCTCCAGTGCTTCAATAATCTCTTTCTAAAACGTTTTGTCAAAATGTCTCAAAATGGACGGGCTTAAAACCTGCTCAACTCGTCCCCAGAAAAGCTTCAAATAAAGCTTTCTTCGCGGTTTTTTTGTCGTTTTTGTTCAGAATGAAAACGTGGTAGGTTTTGTTCCAGTGGGGACGTTGCCTTGACGTTGCCTTCCGTGTGGTTTCGGAGCAAAGAGCGACCGAGGAACGGGATTTTCTGTTTGGCCGTGCGAAAAATCCGAAACCACACAGCTGGCTAGTGGTATAACATTCACTGTGTAGGAAGCCTTGCTACTGGATTCCATCAGTACATTCACTGTGTGCAAAGTCTGTGGTACTGGGTTTTATTAGAACATTCTCTTTGTAGGAAACCTGTGCTATTGGATTCCATCAGTACATTTGGTGTGTAGGAATTCTCTGATACTCATGAGTTTCATCATTACATTCACAGTAGGAAGCCTGTGCTGCTAAGAACCCATTTATGCAAGGGTCACCCGCCTACCAAAGCTGGGCGTTACCTGCAAAAACAGCCTTCTCTCTGTCCCTGGCCGAGCCAACTTTTCATACATTTCCTTACAAAAGGATGATCCTCGCCCTTCTGTTTTGTTGATAGGGTCACCCTGCTAGCCAAGCCTGCAAGCAGGCTTATTCGTGCGGGTTCCGCAGCCAAATTTTTTCCGAACTCGCGCTAGTGAGCCTGCTCGCAGGCAACATCTAACCGAATCAACGTTTCTCTATATAAACAGTTTCTCAGTTTGACCGGGTCAACCTGGTCAAAGTGAGACAATAAGAGTATACGCGAGCGCAGTTTAGACAAATCAGAGCAGGCACGAGCGCTATATTGGCTAGTTGTTTTCTCGGGTAAATGGGTCACCTTTTTTCTCATATATACGCACACTAAAGTTGACTCGGCTGGGAGGTTGACTCTCTTTCCCGTATACACATTCACCTTCCCATAAACTACTTACATGTCTTAGTTGACGCGTTTTATTTTCGTGAATCTCAAAGCATGTCGAATAAAAAGGATAATCAGGAGTCTAAGGGCCTCTTAACATGGAGATGGGGACCCCAGGTAGGTGAGGTAACCCCCCCTATCCATGTTATCTCTCATTTTAATTTGACCACGTGTACATGATAGGTTAGGTGACCCTCTGCATGTTACCTCACCCATCTGGGGTCCCCCACCTCCAATTAAATAGGCCCTAAGTGTAAAAAGGAATACCCTTGTCAGGGTAAAGATATAATCAAGAGGAGCCGAGGGATTTCACTTGTTGAAGCGTAGAAAAGTGCAAGGAAAACTGTCATTTCAGGGGTGTGAGAGGATTTAGGGGGAGCCGGATTTCCAAAATACGTAAGTAGCACAAGGGGTAGCAATTATTCCGATTTTCAGAATTCTCATTACATTTTTTTAAGAATTTACATTGATACATGAATTCATAGTCTATCACCTTTCTTGTGCATGAATAATGCTTAGTTTTTCAAGACTCAGTAATCCCAGTTGATCACGTATTTATCTATTTTGTTTCGCTGCTTCAAACCATCTTGTTGTGCTAAGTTTTGCCCCCAAGTATTCGGGGAAATAAAAAATGGGGAAAAAAAACCCTGAATTTATAACCTTAGAAAACAGCCGACATTTAGCGACACCACTGCTGGTTTGCCCGCGAAATGAAAGTCTGAGAAACGAGCGCGGAATTTCCATACTGATGACTCGTCACTACCCATATCTGGATAGTGCTTCTGAATAGTCGTGCCACGAGGGAAATTTGCTTCAACCAATCAGAAGCACTACCGAGATCTGGGTAGTGGCACGCCATTTGTGTCGTTTTTTAGACTTCATTCCACGGGAAAACCGATGTTGGCGCCGCTAAGTGTTGACTGTTCTCTCACGTTAAAATGAAATGAGTAGCACAGGGTGTGACGATTGGACCTTTTTTTCAGAATTCTCATTATTTTTTTTGTTAGTTGAGTGATGCAGGGGAATCTGAAAGGCCTTGAAGTGACAGAGGATCACGTATTCACCCATGCGTTACTGGAGACCTTAGTTTAGATTCCAAGACGAGGACAACGAGAACAATAGGCTTATTTAGCAACAGAACAGGAACGTCAGTCGACGACGGCGAGCGTAAATCAAACTACAGGCTTGACCGATGGCAGAGCGGCAAATTGAGCACCGAAAGTCGTGTTTAGTCCTTTCTGCGCGCTTTCCCGTCGTCCACCAACGTTCCCGTCCTGGTGCTAAATAAGCCTAATATTGAGTAGTGCACTCATTCATTAGCGGAATAGCCGTCGTTATTCGATTACGGGTTGTAACGAAAATGTCGTAGTGACGTAAACTAGTTATCAAGTGTTAGAATTCTAGTTCACGATCGAGAGAGGGCTAAAATTCCTTCAATAAAAGAAATCGTGTTAACTTTTCTAGTGAATAAAAGTTTGAGTGTACGCGAAAAACCTTTCAGTTTAATCTCGTATACTCGTACTCGTACTCGTTAGACTCGAATCTAAAGGTCTCTAATAGTTTTGTTACTTCATAAGGCGAATCATGTACATCTTGTTGTGTTATGCTCCGGAGCATTCGGGAAAATGAAAAATGGGAACAAAACCTGACTTTACAACTAGCTGTTTCAGTAACCCCTTAATTAATCCTGAGAATAGGCTCCTTGGAGGTGAGAAAGGCTAGTTAGGTATAGGGAGGTGGAGCGGGCGGGGCGCAGGGGAGCCTGCTTAGCAAGCATTTCAGCGCGAGTTCGTCGATATGGAAACGCGCGCTTGCTACGCAGGCTAGGCAACACGGGAAATGGTATTTCCTGAAACATCTTAAAATATGTAGCGAGAAAAGGAAGAAACAACAAAGTAAAAAACAAACTCACTCGCAAGAGGCAGATAAACTTCAATGTTCACATATTTATTGTACGCATTTCTTGTTAAACATTATATATGACAAAAATAGTGCAACCCTTAGCAACGATGTCATTGTCTGATCCGATTCCAAAATGACACTTTATCGAGTGTAAATTGTATATGCAGAGCTATTTTAAGCTCTCTATAAATTAACTTTCACGGTTATATTCGCTTTAGTGTCCGGTTAGTCCCTGAACAAGGAATATAACCTGTAATAGAGATATAAAAAGAACGTTTGGTCGGAAAGCTCCAGTTAATTCCACTTAAAGTTTGGTAACATTCTCAAATCACGGGTGCTACACAATGACTGACTTTCATCATAACAACGAATTTAACAAGCTAATGAAAGCAGTTAGTACTTCCCACGTCTAAAAGTTTTTCGTGCATTGGATTGCGCTATTTTCAAATACATTATATTTTTCTACCATGTATTATTAATCTAATTCATATACTAACTGTATTGTAAACTTTTTCTGTGCTATAAATAACACTATCATTTTCCTATGATTATTGCAATGTTCATTTGTAGTAGAAAAAATTTCTAGCATGATTATTAAAAAAACCGTGTTTTGCATAGGTAATAGTTATAGGTAAACGTATATCAGTATTTTGTGTAGAAAAAGAAGATAATAGTTTTGAAATGTTGTTGCAGATCGAGAACAGCACGCAATAGTGTCGCAATAACAGCTTTAGAAAAAGTAACTTCAGTTAACATTGCTTAGAACTTAAGACATTGTTCTTTCTGTCTTCTTGTTATCTTCGTAACAGGAGGCAATCATAATAAATAACGCTACATCAGATAAGTGTAAATAATATATAACAGCCCGATTTTTTCTTAAATAATAATAACAAGACTATAGTGTTCAAGATTGCTTAATTCCTAGAGTTAAAATTGCCATTGTAAATCGTTTTTCAGAAACATCTGGTTTTAAGTTCATCTTCTGGAATAAGTCTGCCTGGAAAACCTGCAAGACCAAGAACAAAAAAATTCTAGGATAACCTCTTCAAAATGACGGTCAGCTGTACAAACATATTGTGCTAAGGCAAGAGCCGGGGGGGGGGGGGGGGGTACTCAAAAAAATTTCTCCCCCCCAAAGTCCAAGGGTCAACCCCTTATCCTTTCTTATTCCTTTTTTTACAAAGAAAGGCAACCTCGTCCCCCACGGTCGGGGAAAAAGCCCTGACAACCGCTGGTCACGTGTCACCCCGGTCACCCCAAAACTCATAATAAATTAGCGCCATATGAAATGCGTAACCCCCCCCCCCTCCCCCCCGCCCTACCGCCTTCCCTTGGATAGAAGTACTTCAGGGTTGAAGTCTCTTTACAGGGCTCTTTAGTTTGAATTACGATATTAACCTTCGACATTTAATTTTTAACGATTCACTTTCAGCTCTGGTCACCCTTTTTGTTACGCTCCAGGACTAATCCAATCTCGGATAACAGGTCGAAGTTTTGTTAGTTGAATTCAAGCGTGAAAACTATCCTGGCTAAATCTATATTTTAATCATCATTAATCAGAGATATCAATGGCTGTTAACTGACCTGTAGCTTTTGCCAGCTTGCCCGCAGAGAATCGATCGGTTACGACTAACTTATTCTCTATTTCAGAGCTGAAAAAAGAAAAAAAACGTTCATTAAAGTTGAGTTGCAGAATGTATCATGATAGGTAGCAGTGAAAGACATATGAGAAGTTAGTTCTGCGTTGTCCCTACAGGTAACCTCGTACTCAGATCTCACTTTGTCTTGCGGGAGATCTGGGTACGAGATTACCCAACAAGCGGAGGGAGGAGCGAACTGTTCAATTCCAGGCACCGGTTGTTCAAACGTTTTAAGGCTTCCACCTTATCTTAACGCGAGTCCCTGAGATTGGCCAAAGCTGACTTCACGTTTCACTAGTCTATATTAAACCACTATTTCCAAATGCATGTTTAACATCACTTTCTCGAGCCCAGTCTGTTCTTGGGATTTTCGACGGTAGTCGCGACGCAAGGATCGTAAGAAAGCTTCAAAAACGCAAAGACACATGGGAAGACTCCTTGCGCCTTGACTACCGCAGAAAATCCCAAGAGGCACCTGGGTAGCGCGGCAGTATTAACGTTGGGGATGGCCTCTGAAAAGATCCCGTAATGACCACTGAATATAATTACTATTTTTGCAATACCTCTGAAATGTGTTAAGAGTGAAATACTAATCGTCAGAGAAAGTATTTGAGTTAGTTCTTACCTGGCAAACGGGAGGTTGAAGCGCTTCCTGATCGCGAGGTCATAGGCTAACAGACCGTATGGTCTGTTGATACAGACTCTCTTCAACCTCCCCTCAAACCTGTGAAAATTAAGAAGATAGTCAGTGAATGACATCAACACGATATAGATTCAACCCAAAGCTATATAATGACTTAAGTTCATTTATTTACATTCTTTTGAAGAGCATAGATATTTTCAAACTGAGACTTAAGAATTAAAATCAATCAGTTAATGATCACAATTTTTCCGAAACTAACGATGACGATAATGATGATGATGATGATGATTTCGGGCGCCTTTTCCAGTAACACAAAGAAATTTCCGTCCGTTTGCTAGAAAGAATCCTGGTGATTTATACATATCACTTACATTTCTGAGAAGACTTAAAAGAAATAGGTTGAATAGAAAAAGGAGGAAAGAACAACGACAAAAAAAATTGGCTTTTTGTACTAAGTTGTTTTGGACACTCCTTACACGATGGAATCCCAAGTGCCGACCTCCTCCCCAGGGTCTTTTCGCTTTCCAAAAAGGCGGCGGCAGAAAAGAAGAGGGTCTCCCCCAGCCTCGTACCCAGGCCATTTCGCGCAATCCGAGCTATAAGAGGAGGCTTGGAACCGAGAGCGAATTTTCGCGACAAGCTTGACAGGTGACGTCACATCCGAAATCGCCGAGGACGACTGGGAACGAGGCTGGGTCTCCCCGACAGCCGCCCTACTCGGGAACACAAGACAACCCTGGGGACCAGGAAAGTATAACAATTTTTTTAATTATTATTATTTTTTAATTACCTCATTTGCATTGTCTGGCAGGTCTTCTCAATCAGACTAACACACATTTTACTATAGCCTGACTCGTTATCGAGATCGTCGATAACAAGAACAAAGGGGTCATTCCCCACCTTTGTTGCAATTGCTTCTGGAATAGTTCTGTGGATGATAAAGAAAAGAAAACGTCAATTCGCCTTGGCCTATCCTAACTATAACGTTTATCCTCCTTCGAGACATTTACCCTTCTTTCATTCCAATTTCGTTCTGCACAAAGGCTAATTTAATTTCTTGTGAGAACTTTTAGCGGGATGGAATCCGGAATACAACTCAAGGAATCCAATAACAATGCAATCCGGAATCCAAATTCCACTTACAAAAAATCCGGATTCCAGTACCTGGAATCCGGAATCCATGGTGTGGAATCCAGAATCCAAGACTGTCTTGGATTCCAACCGAGGCAAAGATCGATAGCAACTTTAAATTAGCCTGCGAGGAAGCTTTCTATATAGGGAGAGTCGCGAGAGTTCACGCGAGAGCCGCACGCGAAAGAAGACGCGAGTGCGAGGGGCAGGTTCTCTCGCGGCTCGCTCGCCATAATAGGTGAGCTTGCTCGCAGGGTACTTACAATGAACCTTGAACTGTCTCAGTTGTACCTACCTTAGAAAGTACTCCAAGGCCGTGGAGTTTCCCCAAGGAAGGGAATGGATGTGTCTATTATCGTTAGTTCTGATCTCCAACGAGGGCCTTGGAGTGAATGATAATAGATGGAAGCCGTATTCGTGAAATCCTTCATAGTTTACACACGATTTCACGCATTCAAACAATTGTTCTTTAGCATACATCTCCACCCACTCGTAATGATCTTTTCTTGTCATAAAAGACAGAATAGAAAAGTCCTCATAATGGATGTTTGAGGCTGGGGCTGGCTTCTGTGACGTATGCTGCACAAGAGGAGGGCTGCATTCTAACGTACCAAGGTCAACGTACCAAGTTGTTCTCTTGGTTGCCTGGCAAAAAAAAAAACGTATTAACACAGAAATAAGGAGTCTCTTATGACGGTCTCAATGGGGTGGTAGCATTGGCGGTTGAAGTTATTTTTTATTCCATTTTTGACGGTTGACGGTTAAAAGTTAATATGAATTAATATGAACTGTTGTGTTTTGGGGGTTTTCTTGGCCTTTCACTTATAAAATTTCCAAATACATTCATGATTTCTAGAAAGAGCTTTTTGCTAAAACATGGAACGTTCTTTTTCGAGTTAAGAGATTTTTTTCAGGGGCAGGAATCCCCGTAAAGATCAGCTGAAATAGTAAGATTTGTAATACCTTGAAACTTTTTAACGGTTAAAATTTGTCTGTATTTTTGACGGCTGACGGTAAAAAATATTTTTTTCGACGGTTGACGGTTAAATTTTGGGCCTTGGACGGCTGACGGTCCCGGGGGGACTCCCATATGAATGGGGCGGGGATGTTGGTCGGAACTTTTGAGGAGACCAATCTGGGCGTGGCCCAACCGTTTTTTGATTACATGAATCGAGTAAATAAAACGAATTGAAAATATATGACTTTTTAACATTTCTTCGTTGCAACCCTAAAAGAGACCTTTACGGCTAAATATAATGGCGTTTTGCCCAGAACACTCTTAGTGAGACCAAAATCCGAAATTTACACCCTAAGCGAGACGACGAGCGTCCCTGCCCCTTTCATATGGGAGTCCCCCCCGGGATGACGGTTTATCCCACTTAGACCCTCAGAGTGATAAAATTTCTGAAGTGAGTTTGCGTCGAATTTGCTTAATTTGATATAGGTCTTAATTGTTGCTGTTGTCTAGTCTGTTTTTCTCAAACAGTTTAACACACTGCCGGTAAGGCATTTTCTTTTTTTTTTTTTGCTGTTGTTTCGTCGGTAGAAACCTCGCGAAATCTACTTTTTTCCGTCGCTTTGTCCGAGAGGAATTTTGTTTTCCATATAAGGTCAAACTTAGGTATATGAGCTGATAACCGAAATTGAGTGAACCAATCAGAGTGCTAGAAATGCATTATCCGAGGTTGAAAATGAATTATGTAAAATATGTCTTGTTTCCCCTCTCCCTCCCCCTCCTCCCGCTCCGCCTCGATTAGTTCCCTAGCTATTACTTGAGGGTGGATATGTAAATGAAATTTGTTGTTGTCGATTTAAACTGTTCTATTAATCATGATCTTTAATAAATTTATTCTCAACATGTATATTAGAAGACCTCATTCATTCTTCCAATAAATTGAAAAAGCCATGATTCTATATGAGCGCGCTGTCTGTTACAGCAGTAAAATCATGCTAATATAGTTTGAATTTTTCTAGAAATCGCTACATTTCAAAGAAACGTTGGGGACTTTGTGGTTTCAATGGCCAGAATTATAACCATTTTCGTTTTTGTTTGTTTGTTGTTTTTCTTCAGTTGCCTTTCTTCTGAGCTGATCAAGAATAATCCCTGAATACACTCGTTGTTCTGTAACGGCTCAATCTTTCCACGCACGCGCGAGATATGGAGAAAACGCGCTGTGATTGGTCATTTTAAATTCAAATTCGTTTCCTTTTATGGTGGGACCGAACCCACGTGGGCTTTCAAATAATGTCCTATGATTGGTCAGAATTTTTAAAAAATGTTTCCTTTTATGGTCACGTTAACCCAACATGGGGCCTACAAATAACTCCCTATGATTGGTCAGAATTATTTCAAATTTGTGCCCTTATATGGCAAGGCTGACGCCATATGTTTTCAGCTGCCTTGCTACACACTCTCGAAAACCACAGCTAAAGATGCATAAAATTGGCAAATTTTTCATTTATTAAAAAAAGTTCATCAATCGCTAAGTTGTTCTTACCCTCTTCCTCTTAAACACTTGCGAAAATTTCACTTTGCTCTGATTACAACCCATTTCAGGCGCAATTTCTTTTCAATTACAGTGACGTAAGTCAAGTATACACAGTGAAAGTCAGTGCAAACTGAAGCTCGCTCGTGTGTGGCGTGTGCTTATATATTATACTGTGACGTCACATGGTGACGTACGCGAACGTTCTGTAAGTTGATTGGTTAAAATGAAAGAGAGGCGAAGTTTAAAATTTCAATAACGTTTGCGCCTGCGTTTTTGGTGGAACGAGGACTTGGAATGAAAAAGTTAGGGTAAAAAAAGCACGAGTTGAAGAATTTCAGACGCAAAAAGTCTTGACAGCAACAGATAGATGTTATCCGAGACAAGACAACTTTTTTTCAGTGTAAACAAATGCTTTTGAAAGGCACGTCTATCATAATCAGTAAAAAATCATTTCAAAATCATCGTTTAACTATTGCGCGCGAGTAAGTGAATTCCTTTTACTTAGTTTTAACGGAAGAGTTTCTGATAATGCTAAGAAGCCGTTTTTTAATTGCTAAATGACGGATGCGACGGCCGTTACGTTATGTCAAAAATCCGCCTTCTAGCTATCTTCGTTACCGGTACTTTTAAACAGATAAGATTTTGGATAATTCAGTGATCACAAAAAAAAAAAAATTCAGTTCGCTCGCAAGTAAACAGAACGTAAGACGATTGATAAAAGTTCCACATCTTTCAGAGAGCCCATATTTTTTTGAAAATTAACCTGTTCAAATTTATCCCTTCTTTACGAAGACAGCTGTCCAATCAGAAACTTTTAAAGTAAAAAAAACTGTTTTGGATTAAAGAAAATGTTGTTAATCATGGAGCGGGATACCCTGGCTCTATCCGCCTTGCTCCAGAGAAATAGCCCTCCACACTGTTTAGTGAAGCTCCCGCGTTTCGCCTCGAGCTATCAGGAATTAAGTGAGAAAAAAACCTCTGGCACCCAACTGAATAGGAGCGGGAAAACACCAAGAAAAACCCTCACAGGTAGAAGGAAGGGGCTGTGTTAAAGCGGTGCACCGAAAAATAGCCTTATAATGAGAACACAATAATTTTAGTACAACGTAAATAACAAATGACAAACGCTAAAAACAATGCACAGTTATCTTCTTGCAAGAAGCACATCTCACTTGGGGGAAATAACTGTATTTCCTTCTTCTTCAAATACGACTCTTCTTGCTATTAAACGCGGCGCGTGTGGTAACGCGCGACGTTTCTTACTTCTCATCCTTCCTTTGAGACACGCTACCCACTTAACCTTGACTCCAGGTGTTTTCCATATGGTGGCAGCAGCTATTTTGGTCAACGAGAAGACCCTGAGGACGAGGTTGGCTACCTTCGTTCGCCGCAGAGAAGCAGTTAGAGCGAGGTAGATAGGTGGAGTGAACTTAAGGGTCGTCGCCTCGTCCCCTGCTCTCTGAAAGCAGGTAACCGCATATGTTACAATGAGAATTCAATATCCTCCCCCACTCTTCCCCACCTGCTTTTGCAGACCCTGGAAATTGAGTTATGAAAAACTAGCTGTTTTGCTCAGGGTTCTCTTTGCTTTGCCAATGTAGCACTCAAGGAAAATTTCCACTTTGTCTTTTCAAGAATTATGCTTACACACGCTCGTGGAGAAAGCCAATTTCGAACGAAACAGTTCTCTAGAGTATTATCCCATGAACGACATAGGAGAAACAAAACATACGAGCTGTTTAATAAAAGGGGTGTTTTCACCCCCAGCGGTGGCGGATCCAGGGGAGGGGCCCGGGGGGGAGCCGCCCCCCTTATTTTTGGACCAAACTGAGGCTCGAAGGTCTGAGTCTGGATGACCGGGCCCCCCCTTATCTCAAGGCCTGGATCCAGCACTGTGCATGATCCAGGCACCATTTGTTAGAGAGCAGAGTGTCATCACTGGCAACCCATGAATAACCATACATTATGGATCTTGTAGGAAAGATTCACTATATTTGTCATTTTTCTCCCCTTTCCAGCCCTCTGACAGCCTGCTCAAAAGGAAGAGAAGGATCCAAATGGGGAATCATGGGAGTCGGCCCCCACTGTCATCCCCCCGCCCTTAATCAGTCTGACCAGTGGATGTTTAGAGTCCTGAGCAATGTTGTAACTGCTTTTAAAACTAGAGTAATTACCAGGGATAAGGTGTCCATCTCAGAGAGATTCAACTGAACTGTTTAATAATAAAACGATGGGGGTCATATAAACTTGACTTTAGTTTAAAACAATGAATTCCAACAGGAAGTGTTAACTTGTAATGCCAACAGAAATTACTAAACCTTGTTTAAAATTGGGCAATTGTTTGTTACAGTAAATTATTGTAACGTCTTAACTGGAACTGCTTTAGTATTGATCAATAAAGAAGACCACGATAAGAAGCTAAATATGCTGCAAATTATTGTGAGCCACCTCACTGAAATGTTTTTCACCATACTTACACTTGTTAAGGTGTCAACAAGTGCATAATTGGTGAGGTTGGAACAAGCCCTGAATGTCACTAAATGACAAAAGGTTAGGGAAAGCATTACAAGGACTGATCCAATCCAGTTCAAACCAGATAATGTCAACAACCGTCATGAGTCTTGAAATTTTCTAACATGCTACAGCACAACATAATAACACATTGGGAAGCTACTCTAAGCTTATATCAGAGGTACAGTACAGATAAAATCTTTGACAGCAATGTATTTCTAGTACCATATGATTTTCATAACAAGAACCTGACTACTCAACTACCCTTGACACATGTTAAAAGTAAAATACATTTGTTAAAAGCCATATGCTTTTATTTTTTTATGTATTCAATTAGATGTGATCAACTAGTTTCCATTGCGTGCAGAAAAGGAGGAAAGTACTGAGACCCAATATTTAGTCTGTGGCATTCTGGTCTGTGAATACAGCCCTCTCTCCTCTCTCCTTGTTCCACAATGTAAGGGACGTTTCATGATCTCTCCCCATGAAACAGCCCTTGTGGCGAGGAGCGAGGAGTGACCGTTGTATTCGCAGGCAGGCTAGTAGCTTTCCTTTCATCTGGAAAATCTCAAGCATCCTTCCCTGCTTGCTTAACAAATTTTATCTACTATAACACTTCCAGCTGGGGCCATAATGATAAGGGACTCTTCGTTTGTGTGAATTCGCTCATGCCTTTTGCAGTCTGATGATGATCTAAAGCACTTAACACAATACTGGCACTTAAAGGGTTTTTCTCCAGTGTGAATTCGCTCATGTTTCTTGCAAGAGGTTGACTCGGTGAATCGTTTATCACAATACTGGCACTTATAACGCTTTTCTTCAGTGTGAGTACGCTCATGTTTTTTACAAGAAGACAAAGTGCAGTAGCACTTATCACAATACTTGCACTGGTAAGGCTTAATGCCTTCGTGAATTTGTTCATGTACATGGCACTCTGATGGCTGTCTAAAACATTTATCGCAATACTTGCATTTGTACGGTTTCCCTCCTCTGACATCAAGTACATTGCTGCACTCTGATGACTGCTTGCGGCATTTGTTGCAATAATTATTGCAAGTGTGAGATTTCCTTCCTGTGTGATTTTGGTTAGTTCCTTTAGTGTGGATTCCTTCATGTCTTAAGTGATCTGATGATGTTCTAAAGCATTTATCACAATACTGGCACTTGTAAGGTTTTTCTCCTGTGTGAATTCGCTCATGTTTCTTGCAAGCTGATGACTCACTGAAACATTTACCACAATACTGGCACTTAAAAGGTTTCTCTCCAGTGTGAATTCGCACATGTTTCCTACAGTCTGATGTTGTTTTAAAGCGTTTATTACAATACTTGCACTTATGGGGTTTTTCTCTGTGATCTTCTTCATGTTCATTGCAATCTGATAACTGTGTGAAACATTCATTGCAATAATTATTGTGCTTCACTCTTGTGTGGCTTTGCTCGTGTGCTTTCCAATTCCCATGGTATCTAAAGCACTTATCACAAAACTTACACTTGTAAGGCTTCACTCCTGTGTGAATTCGCTCGTGAATGTTGCAATCTGCTGACTGGTGAAAGCGCTTGTCACAAAACTTGCACTTATGAGGTCTCACACCTGTGTGAAACCGTTCATGTGTATTGCAGTTACCCACGGTACTAAAGGATTTTTCACAGTACTTGCACTTATATGGTTTTACTCCTGTGTGACTCCGTTCATGTACTTCATATTCTGATAATGTTCTGAATCTTTTATTGCAATGCTTGCACTGATGTGGTGTATCTCCTGTATGAAGACGCTCATGATTCTTGCAATGTGATGATGTGCTAAACACCTTATCACAATACATGCACTTGAAAGGTTTTATCCCTGTGTGATGTTGCTCATGAACCTTGCACCCTGATCTTGTGCTAAAGCTTTTATCACAACGCTTGCACTTAAAAGGTTTTTGAGTTACCACTTCTGCGTGAACTTGTTGGACATCCAGGGACTGGTTGGATAATTTGTCACAATCATTGTCAAGTGTATCTATGAGTTTAACTGCATCTTGTTGTTGAGTAATTCCTGTAGGGAGATGTTGCATGGTCTCCTAAACATCAACTGAAATAAGAAAATGTTACATTACGAATTCGAATGGATGTACACTGAATTTCTCAAAGAACGCTATCATCAACAGAGAAAAAAATAAGTGAGTAAAGACAGGCTTGGTAGCAAATATAACTTTAAAATAAGAGATGCCATTATTTATAATTGTCTCATCTTGAAAAAATAATAAATAAATGCTTCAACAATAAATTTTAAGCTTACATGAGTTAATAAGCTTAACAATTTTGCAGCATTTTGTTTTTCTTATCACTTGCACACTCATCATCACTGAGCGAACCAACAAGTCACCTTGCCACATTTCTCAACGCCTTTCATTGACTTGTACTTGCTCTAGAGTAAAGAATGTTAATTGACTGCAAGTTACTACGTTTGCTGAGCGCCGCCATAGGTGCCGCACAATGAATTGTGGGATAAAGTGCCCGTGAGGACTCCACAGGACACCCAGGGTTGCCTTGAGCAACGTCTCGTTGGCGTTGATTCCTGCACTACTGATGACGGGGTCAGGAGCCCATAAGAAAACAGAGGAAAACAAAGTAAACATAGGAAAACAGGAGAAAACATAGGATAACAGGAATTCAGGAGAAAAAGAGGAAAAAAAGGGAATAACATTTCTAAAAAGTATTATATATTCGGGACATATTATGAAGTCTTACATGAGATACTGACCTTTCGCAGAGAAAGTTTTGCTGTTTGCGAAAAAAATGCTCATGGTTAGACCTGAACTCTACATGTATGCATTCTTTTCTTCAAATATGGTGCGACTCACATGACACTGCGGAATGAGCTTGAAAACCGGTGTTTGTTGTTTTAATCGTTGCAGTACCTTTTTGTTTTCAGTTTAATATTGCTCTAATATTGTCTCATGAGTGCATCAAGGTTTATGTTACCTAGGATATTTCTTCTCTCTCTAAAAACTTTTGCCCTTCAATTGGTAAACTGGTATTGATTCAAGAAGAGCAACTTAAATTAACTTTATGCATATGGGCCCTCGAATCATTCGCGAACACAAACCTAGCATGGTTCCCTCAAAGTTCTGCGGACTGCAGTCTTTTAATTCAAAGAAGATACTGTTGGCTCTCTGTGTCATCGCGTGGGCCGCAATTTTCTTTCTTTCTGGGACCTTATTTATCAGGAGGAGATATGAAAGCGCTAACGAGGTAGGACGAACTTTTTATGTTACTTTCTGTAAAATTTAAGCCCCCTGCTACAGTGGGTAAGATATTTATTATGTGTACACGTTTCAACTCTATTCATATTTAAAAACCATTCAAATTTTGTGAGAAAAAATGTGAAATTGCTGCATGGGGTTCACGGAAATCGTAGCCCCCTTTGTTTTGTTAAATGACATTCATTTTGAGATTGTTAATACAGTTGAAGCCCTTGCTTTTCTTGTATTTGCTCAGATGCAAAGATATTTCATTGAAAAAAGACTTGGAGAAAACAACAATGAATTTGCTTTTTTCAATAACATGACAAGGGCAGCCATGCTGGTCGACAAAACAATAATATTTTTTGCAGAATTTACATCAAGCTTAAATGAAAGAAGAAGCACTACACCCAGATCTGGGTAGAGATGGCATGTCATCAGTACAAGCATTGGTTGTGCTTCATTAGCAGAACTGCATGATGGGGATATGCAGGCACTTTCATGAAATGCCAGATTGTTTTGAATACCCTTGAAAATATGTACTTAAATGAAGCCACACTCTGCAAAACACTCCAGTTTAAACAATAATTTTATACCCAAAAAATCTGGCGATCATCCTTGCTATTTTTAATCCAGACTACCCCTTCTTGGAGGGGATTATAACAGCAGTTCCCCTTGTATGGTGCATGTGCAGTGAAAAAAGTTTAATGCTGTGAAAGATCACTTGTGAAATCAGTTGCAAATAGAAATGACTCATATTTTAGCTGTCACAGAATCAGTTTTATGTGGCTGGACCTCAGCTATGAAGTGGGTACTTGTACTTCATTTTTAGTGAATGAATAGCAAACATCGGCTATTCATTCACATGACTCTGAGGCTTTCAGGTCATTAATTCCTATATTTGGTTTGGTTTTCTTTGTGATCATGTCTCTTCTGGGAATTATGAGACAATGGAGTCGTGAAAAATTTGCAATTTTGTCCATGTTAGAATTTTATTATATCGAATGTTAATAATAATAATGAACTTTTTAAAGTCTCAAGCTTCTAGCTTAGCACAAGTGCTGAAACTAATCATGCAAGCACCTTAATAAAGAGTTGTGTAAGCTTTGAAGCCAACCAACCACCCAAGTGTACGTGATGAAATTAGAAATAGATATTACTGATAATAAAAAATAATAATAAACTTGTTTATAAGGCAGGTACAAAAGTCGGACCGGATCAACTTGGACCGCCAGTCCGGGTCGGATCAACTCGGATCGACTCGGATGAACTCGGATCGAAAAAAAAAAATAAAAATGACATAAAATTGGACTCGGATAAACTCGGAGCAATAAAAAAAATTAAATTAAATCAGCAAAACTGAAAGTTCAACCCATTTGGAGGGTAAAAAAGGCCAGATCATCCTTTTTTTTTCCTCCGTGGCTTTCAGGTGCCATTTTGTTTTACTAGTGCCAGTTCCTCTCGGATCATGTTATAAACTCGTAGTTGTGGTTCGGAAGTAAAGAAATGATAGTTTCAGTCGCCTAGCTAGAATGTATATATTTGCTTATTTATCAGACTACTGAATTATTTATGAGAAAAGCACCAAAAGCCTGGTATGTTGATCGCATTTAGATAGTTACCGAAGACTGTTTGTTTGTTTGTTCCTCTTTGTTTTTTTTCTCCAGGACTTCTGAAACTTAATTTTAATGATACAATAGTGAGCAGCACACATACATTTCCAGTGAAAATTTTCAACTTGGAAGGAGGAGAAACCATGCTCGCCCGGGACAAAGGAAATTTCCATGCCCCAGGCAAGAATCGAACTCGCGACCCTCCGGTTCATTGGTTGGATCGTCCCATAAACATGTAGTATTCGGAGGGTCGTGAGTTCAATTCTCGCCCGGGGTACGAAAATTTTCGTTGTCCCGGGCGAGCATGATTTCTCCTCCTTCCAAGTTGAAAATGTTCACTGGAAGTGTATGTGTGCTGCTCACTAGTGTATCATTAAAATTAATAAAAATAAAAATAAAATTAACTTACGTAACCATGAGTTCGTGAGACAAAAACAAAATGGCAGTTGCAAGTTAAGTGATACCGACTGATTTTATTTTTCTTTTTATAATCCGAGTTGTTTTTTTTTATGATCCGAGTTGATCCGAGTCCAATTTGATTTTTTTTTTTTTTTTTATTCGATCCGAGTTTGTCCGAGTCGATCCAAGTTGATCCGACCCGGGCTGGCGGTCCGAGTTGATCCGGTCCGACTTTTGTACCTGCCTCTTGTTTATATAGTGCCTATACTTTTCAGTGCTAAGTGCTTTTCAGTTACGTACACTGAGAAATGCTGAGAAAAAAAGTCAGAGCCCACAACACACAACACTTTCTTTAGCCTGCGTAGGTGGTGGTATTAATTGTGTGGGTGCGAGATTAAAGTTTTGGAGGCAGAGCCATGTTCCAAAAAAGGGAGTAGGGATGAGGTGGTTGAAATACCACCTGCCAGAAAACCCGGTATTTTGAATAGTCTGCACACCAGTGTGCAGAGAAAGGGATTGGTCGAGGGCCATACATATGTCAATCATGTTAGATGATCCTTCGCATATATTTCCCAATTAAGGGAGCAGATGGCAAACTGGAAAAGATGTAAGTGATTGTTGTTTCCCCTTTAAAAAGAGCATAATTGATGACCAAATTGCTGAAATGGCGTCTTTAAGCTTCACAGCGCTGGAATTGTCTTTATTTAGCCGTAAGAAACAAAGGTCAAAGAAATTAAAACACGTTACAACTGCATCTGAGATCAAATCCTATCAGGAACACCTACAGAAGAATAAACCACAGGAAATGGTTACTCAGTATGCATGTAACAAACCAGCTTCATGACCTTTTAATGTTAAAAATAGTGTGGCAAAAAAAGATTTACTCAGTCAAAGTTTAGAATGATACATGCACTTTGTAGTGCTAGTAACCTTCATGCAAGAGCCGAGAAAATAAAAATTAAAACCTCTGTTCAAGCAAACTCACAAGGTCACGTTTCACATTATCACGAACTTAGGAGTCGTGTTTAGCCTGTCAACGCTTATTTCTAAACTGTCTCGCGCCAAAATAATCGGAAGTTTCAAATTGCAGGTTTCTCGTTGATTGGCTGATTTAATTGGGATCAGCTAAGGTGACAAAAGTGGGCGGCATTTGAAAAATCATGGTTCTCTGGCAGGCAGTATTTCTCGCGGCTTTGCCGCTCGTGACGGCTCCGCCATCAAATCTCACTCGACTATATTACAATGGCTCCACCGCCAAATCTAACTCGACTACTACACAATACCGCCAGCTACACAGGCTACACTTTCTTAAGGTGCTTGCGTGATGCAAGTTAGTCAGTGTGTTGCTTAAAGCAAAGTCCTGTGTGGCTACCCCAAAACCTGTGACCTGTTCGCCATGTGAGGGGCCACAACTCGGTGGTAATTAGAGCATCCTAACAATATCTGGAAGGTCATGGGTTGGATTCTCATGGAGGGCTCAGAATTTTTTTCTGAGCGTTTCGTAGTTCATATATGTAATATCTATTTCTAATTTCATTACCTGTACACTTGGGTGGTTGGTACTTAGAGAACAATTCAATAATATTGAACAATTCAATAATAATAATAATATACTTGTGACATTCCTCCATCTATTATTGTGATTAATATTATTGTCACATTTTCAGCTTGTGTCAAAGCTGGGTACCTCTCTCCAAGAGAGAATTGATTATTTAAGGTAAGTTGATTTAAAAAAAACTTACATATACAGTAGTACCACAAATAAAGTTTGGAATTATTGATTATTTAAGGTCTGTATCAGTTAACGTCTTATGAAAGGTTAGACCACTCCATAATACAGACACTTCTCAATTATGGACTGTTCTCTTGGAAACATTTATTATTATTATTTTTCTCAACATGAGCCAAAGCTGTCTTGTGTTACCTTCTTTATTAAAGGCTTTTACCTGAGTACTTACTTACTTACTGACTTACTTACTTACAGTGGGAAGCTCTCCTCACAGACACTCTTATAAGCAGACAGCTCTAGTTACAGGCAGCTTCACAAAACTTGGTTTTCTCAACTCTCATACAAACTCTGTATTTTTTACATTTTCATAAGTGGCCTGCAGTTCCTGTTATGGACACCTTTTTCATGTTGCGAGGGTGTCCGCTTATGAGAACTTCCACTTGACTTACTTATGTAATTCTTACTTACTGACTGACTGACTAAATTACTGACTTACAAAGTACATGCTTACAAGTGTTTAGTTAACACCTCGCTGTAATGTGGACTAGTGGCTTTATCCCTTTTGAAGTTCGCATGAGAGAGGTTTGACTGTTAAATGTATTTTGTAAAGCTCTCAGCTAAGTGAAGGAAAGACGTCTGCTAAAGATTTGACTCAAGCACTCCATGCAAAGATCAACTTGACACTTTCCAGTCTGGATGAGAAGATCGGTGCCCTGGAAAAGGACTTTAAAGAAAAGCGTCAAAGGGCCTTCCATGCTCTTCATGTCTTACATGGTGGTAACTCTGATAATGAGAAAGCAGAACCACAACCAACGATTCAGCAAACTGCAGTGCCTGAAAATGCTCCTGAGGCAAGGTACTGTCTTTTAAGACAATGTAGAACATGTAGCTAGTTGTAGAGACTTGTGTATGTATGGAGCTCTTTTTTATGTAACATGACCAACCCACCAGTTGTTAGTGCATAACTCAGTTTAAGGTGTGCCACTGCCACCCTTGTTACATGCACTTCATGGAGTAATGTTGCTGCCACCCTCATATTAGCCCAGGGTACTCCTAACAACCTTAAGTCTCATTTACTCCCAAAGATTGTGTCTTTTCTCTTTGTCTACCACATGAATAAGTAACTAAAAGTTGTTAATGGGGCTGTAACATGACTAAGCTATTTCCCTCTTTTTAGCATGACTATACATCAGTTTTCCCCTACATGTTTTGTTCTATTTTATTTTATTAAGTTTTCAAAGACTATAAAGTTAGATTTCCAAGAAAAACTGCAAAAATAAAACTGGCATGAAACATTCAAAAAGTTACAAATTAAGATGGAAAAAATACATTATATTGTGGCTAATTAACAGAGGAAATAATTGTTTGTTGATCTTTAAGTGGGCCAGTTGAGATGAAATCAAGTGAGAGTGGAATGTGCATTGATTCAATGGAAAACCCTGTAGGCAGCGATACTCAGTTGTTTGAATGTCATGGTCAAGAAGGAAATCAGGTAATTTTTTACATAAATGAATGACTAAAGGCTTATATAAATCTTTGTAAAATAACAAGATACTATGCAATCTCTGGTTGGCTGAGGGGTGTGTAAACAGAGTTTATGTTGTGACCCTAAGATGTTGCTATGCATATGCTAATCACCAAACCACCAACTCAGAAAGCTGCCAAAATTTGGTGCATAAATGTCTTTCAAATCAGCACACTTATCCCAGCATGAAATCTATGAATGCTTTTTATTGAACTACATTTAATTTTATTATTATCATTGGTTTTCACGCTGCATACCTTGTAAACCCAGGGCAGCCAGTCAGGTCGCCAAAAAGGCATAACAAAAGTTTACAAGCACAGGCAGTACATTATGATAATAATAATAGCAATAATAACAATAAAGCATGTACAGGCCTGATGCATGTAGTAGTAATGATAAGAATACAGATGAAGTTCTTATTATGTTAATATCTGACCTTAAAGGTGGTATTGTGGTTTTCAGTAGGGCCTAAAAATACCGTCATCATTATTATTAATTATTACTTTTTTATCATTATCATCATTATTATTATCATTTTCATTATTATTTTAGTACATTGAAGGAGTGGTAGTAGCATTAGTACATGTAGTGCATTTCTTTGCACCTTTTGTCCTTTTGTCATCCACAAGTACATAATGGAATTGTTTTGAATCTGAACCAATAGCTAACAACTGCATTGTACAAGTTTTTATTAAATTGTCCTCCTTGTCTCCCTTATAAGCCACAAATCAAATTAACTGATCAGAAGTAAAAAATTATTTTTGTTCCCATACATGTATGTACATCTTGAAGGCTTGGAACTACAGGGAATCAACTCATCTTATTGAAAACAAAGCAAAAGGCATGTGCTTAAGAGCTGCTGATGGCAATGAGAGGAGTCCTGTGAAAACTGCAGCTTGTGATGAAAATGACACTCAGCAGGTAAGAATTAACTTCCCTGGAGACTATTTTCTAGCTTCACAGGCAACCTAGCATCCTCAGAGTCCCAGGGACAGTCACTGTGGCCCCGTGAGGGTAAAATTCTGCCAAATGACTTAAGACTAGGTAAAATGATGACAAATGACACAAAGATGGGTTAAAAACCGACAGGGACATGACTTTCTGCTCAAAATACAAAACAACAGTATTTGAAATTCAGATCAGGGACATACGACAACATACTCCCCGTAAGAGGGCCTCAGCAGTCGGGTCAGTAGAATTAACAGCGCATGGATGAAGCTGAACATCTGTTAATTTGGATGGCCGCGGATTGGAGGCAAGCACTTGATAACAGTCTGGCGGTAGGTGTGGTATTTGTGGACTCCTGGAAGGCCTTTGATACTGTATCTCACTCTCTCTCTGGGACCTATGGTCATGGATCAAGACTACCCGACAAACCGTTCTTAGGTAGGTTTATGAAGTATGGGGTTCCTCAGGGATCGGTATTGGGTCCTACACTATTTTCACTATTCTGCAATGACTTCCCGGATATATATAGCTGAACGTGAAGGCGTCTTACAAATGTACGTGGATGACACACTTACACAAGTGCACCCTTGCTTGACAATTATGCCATTTTGTAGATGTTCGAAAATCCTAGGAGAGGCAGGCAAGCAAGAAATTTTACAACAAATGTTCCGAAAATTCTAGATCTCAAATCGTCTTCCGAACAGACATTTTCCAAAAATTGACGTTGGCTGCCCCTGAGTAAAGCAGGTCCCCCGTCTATCGCTTGGATTTCTCTATGCCCATGTGGCCTTGATGAATTCTCTCCAGCATTTCCTTTCGCATAAAGGATGGCACAAGAATTCTTTCACCCTTGAGAATGATACCTTTCAGTTCAGACAGTTCATCTCTCACATCCCAATACACACAAGCACTAGAACTGATACTGGCCTTTGTCTCTGGCCATCCTCGTTTGATGATTTCTCTTAGATCTTGTAGCGACTAGTCTATTGCTGTCTCCTCTTGGATTTCTTCGAATTTGGATTACGAGATAGGTAAGCTTGGTTGTATCAGATGAACGTGTCTCCTTTTCTAATGTTCCTTCAACCTGCTGTTTCAGGGAGTGGTGTACGTGATAGCATGTCTGAAAGTGCTAAGTCAACTCCTTTCCCGGTTTGTATTCCAGTGTATAGTCCTACTTTTACATTCTCACATTCATTAGGTGTAGGTTTCTTCCTACTCTTTCTCTTCCGTCATGACAACTTTAATTAGGCCCAAGTTTTGTGAGGATCGAAACCCAGTAATCCTGGCTCATGTGTTTCTAATAAATGGAATGTTGGCTCTTGATAAACATCTGACTTGGATTTCACGGGCAATTTTACAGTTCCTAGTACTGTGAGATTATCTCCTGGGTAGCTAACCAGTTTGTGGTTCCATATCTCCAGGTGGGGTCATTCCCTTGAATCTTCTTGAGTTCCTTTAGTGGCATTATACACCTGATTGTATAAACGTTGTCGCTTGAACAGTATATACCATGAACGATGGGACCTAATGGATTTATGGGTAGAACTTTATTAGCATTGCAAGTTCTTTTTAGAAATCTTTACTTTGTTGTCAAGCTTTTGGTGACGATGCATCCAAAAAACGTCAAACGGTTTCCAGATTTCGTGGCAATAAGCTCACAACTTCACCTGTCTTGGAAGGCATATCACAAACGCACGCTTGAAAATCATAAGATAGGGCATAAAAAGCTTTCTTGGAAGACCAAAAAAAACAACAACATTAACGGCATGCCTCGCAGAAAGTACTTTAGGTATTTGCATCCGCACGAGTATCTCGTGACAATGTAAAGTTTTGTCATTTGCTTTGCTAATGAGCATATACCCATAAATACTTGAGGCCTCATCATTCATGGTTTATACTTCTGAGCGACAACATTTTTTCAATCAGGTATATTTAACTTGTGAACCAGTATCAACTTTACGTCGCATGCGGCTGTCCTTGTACTGATAAAGTTACGTAGCACTCGTCATTCTGAATTTGCACTTCTGAAGTGACTGATCCTACAAACAGTGGAGACTCGCAATCATACTCTTCTTCTTCGTCTTCTGCCGTTAGCCCATAACCTTTTTTCAGTGACCGGCACATACTCTTGAAATGATGCTGTTTCTTGGCAATGCAATTATGACATGTCTTGCCATACACCGGGCATTCTCGTACACCATGTCTTATTCCACAGTTTCTACATTTAAATATCTTGCTTGAAGAGAGTCTATCTTCATTGGCTGAGGGTGTTCCTCTGAGGGGTGGATTTTTCTTCTCCATTCCAATTCCACGTACGGATTAGTCGCTTGCCATGTCCTTTGACTGTTTTTCTGTTGCCTCTGCAGATCGAACCACTCTATAGCCTTCTCCAGGGTGAGGTCTGAAATCCTGAGCAGTCTCTCTCTCGTCTTAGCGTCACTGATGCCAAGCACAATTCTATCTTTGATAAGGGAGTTCTTCAATGTGCTGAATTCACATGTCTCACTCATCTTTCGCAACACGGTAAAATATTGATCAATAGCTTCACCACTCTCCTGGGCTCTTAAAAAGAAGTTGTATTTCGTATCTAACGTTTTTCCTTGGCTCACAGTGTCCCTCAAATTTCTTTAAGACTTTGTGTATCTTTTTCTCATCACCTTCTGCATCCCATAACAGAGTCAGTTAAAAACATCAATGGCATCGTTGCCAGTGACTGTTAGCAGCGTAGCTATTCTGTTGGCATTTTACTTCGTGTTTATGCCAGTTACAATTTCGTAATTTTGTGTATTTTTGTTTGAACTTTCTCCAGTTTTCCGAAACGTTTCTACCCCTTAAATCGAGTGGTTCTGGTGGAGGGAGGCCTAAATACAGTTGTAAATATAGCGCCATTTCATGTAGCCTCCTAGCAAGCTCTCCTGTTTGGGCGAGCAAAGCGAGTCTCGCGAGAACGCGCGAGGGAGCGGCGAAGCCGCGAGGGGTCCCTTGCTCGCGCGTTCTCGCGAGGGTCGCCCAAACAGGAGAGCTTGCTCGCAGGCTACATTTCATGTTCAGTCGCAAGATCGTCTTGAGGCGTATTTGCGGTGTCTCCTTCCGTTAAACTTCCGTCATGTACTTGAGGTGTATCCCCGTCTGCCGCCGGTGTATTTTCATTTTGTTCAGGAGCGTTTTCCCCATCTAGTTCGCCGAGACTTCCTCCTTCACTTACGGTTTCTTGGGACATGTGCTTTTCCCGGTAGCAGCTTTCGATGGTCGGACTTTGCGTTCTGTCTTCGTTGCAAAACGACACTCTTTACTTTTCGTTCTTCATTTCTGACACTCTGTAAAAATCTTCACCAGAGACCACGATGGAGGAGGATTAGCACAGTTTAATTGACAGCTTCTATAGTTGTTCAACATGGCCGATTTTCTAAGCTGTAGTTAGGCTTTTGTACATTATGCTTTTGCTTCCCCACTAAAATGCTCCACCTTAATGCTCCATTTTTCCCGCTAAAATGCACGGTCTCCCTAAAAAAGTCACTAAAATGCTCGGATAATGTTCATGATACAAACGGTTTTTTAAATTAATTTTAAAGTTTACACTTACAAAAACGTGCAAGTGTTGCAAGTAACAACGACAACGTGTACGAGTTCATAAATACAGCCAAAAGAAACAGCTGTATTAGGTTTTTTGTGAATTTTGAGTTTTAGTCTTCATTTTCTTTAAAAAAGCAGGAGCTCATGGGGCATGGGCTCCTAAAAAAGTTAATTTCTATCTTATTTTCTCGGAAAAAATTAGTTTTGCGGGGAAAATGCCACTAAAATGTTCGAATAATGCTCAATGCTTTTGCCTCACTAAAATGCTCGAAAAAATGCTAGCATAATGTACAAAAGCCTAGCTGTAGTACAGTATGCACGCATGCGTACTGTAAAATACCGCTGATCATGTCAAAAAGTGGAGCTGTAAAGAGGCCAGAGGCTTCCTTTTTTCCCCTTCCCATTGTTTCCCTCATACTTTTCTTTTTTTATTTTTTCAATAAGCGAGTCTTTGCTGGTCTCATTGTTTTTTTTTCTCATTAGCATACGGCTTAACTCACAAAAGCCGTGGCCGTATTTACGAACTAATTTCAAAAGTTGAAAGAGCTGATTGACTTGAACAGTTTGTGCAATTTTTAGCTCTTTTTAAGCAATATGGAAGGAAATATCAGCAGTCAAAAACTACGAAATTGTTGTTTGGCAAAAAAGTTAGTGAGCCATACATTCTTTGTAAAATTTCGAAATTTTAAAAGAGAATTTCTCCGAAACCATTCAATATATCAGGCTCAATTTTTCAGAGATAATTGAAATTGTTATATTTTTTCAACATTCAGAGATTTTATTTTATTAGCTTCATCAGATAATGATAAGCATATATTAATGAGGGAAAAAATGTAAACAAAAAATTGGCCTATATCAAAGGGAACCTTTGCACAGAAGTGAGTTAACCTTGGTAACACATAGTGCTGTTGTTTCCTTGTAGAAATGGAATAATATTCAACGTCTTTTGATGCTGGATGATGGTGCCATGACTGGCAAATGCCTTGACGCTGACCCTGAAACTAAAATGCTTGTGATCCAGCACTGTGATAGTACAAAAGAATCCCAGCATTGGACGTATCATATAAACTCTCCAGCACGATAATAAATCAGAAAAGTTTTTTATAAGATCAGTAAATCTGTTTATTGCCACACAGCAAAGACCATGTACAAAAATTAAAATTCTATATCTTTAAAAAACTACTGTGCTGCACTATCCTGTATATTAAGTGATAACCGTTCTTGCTGTCCATTTTATTCTTCCCCAATTTTATATTCTCGGCCTTATTTCATTTACTGATTTCCGTATTATTGGAAAATTNCATAGTGCTGTTGTTTCCTTGTAGAAATGGAATAATATTCAACGTCTTTTGATGCTGGATGATGGTGCCATGACTGGCAAATGCCTTGACGCTGACCCTGAAACTAAAATGCTTGTGATCCAGCACTGTGATAGTACAAAAGAATCCCAGCATTGGACGTATCATATAAACTCTCCAGCACGATAATAAATCAGAAAAGTTTTTTATAAGATCAGTAAATCTGTTTATTGCCACACAGCAAAGACCATGTACAAAAATTAAAATTCTATATCTTTAAAAAACTACTGTGCTGCACTATCCTGTATATTAAGTGATAACCGTTCTTGCTGTCCATTTTATTCTTCCCCAATTTTATATTCTCGGCCTTATTTCATTTACTGATTTCCGTATTATTGGAAAATTCCTTTACTGGTATGTTTTGGGCGGTTAATTTTTTTAATTTAATCAGTTTAGTAGCTGGTTCAAAGTGGCTGATTTTGGACAAATTACTTGCCATCGCTCCGTTAAGCTTTTTTCAAATGACGGAAAACAGTAGAATGCCATTCTACTGATGTGAGGGGAGGAGAGGGTATTTTATAGAATAAATGCAGAATCTGAGTGGCAATCACTGACTACTTTCTACTTTGCACAACATCAAGGCCTAAGCTATGGCTAAGGTGCGATTTAAGATCTTGCCTCACCTCAGGTGATTGCGCCTTGTCTTTATTAATTGGAAGGGGACATAAAAGAACTTAAACTCCAATTCGAAAACAGTAGGGGCATATAGGCCTCGGTGGTGTGGTCCATCTCTCACGGGGCGAGGGGATGTACATGCCCTTAGGAATTGCCCAGTGGCTGATCCAAATTTTTTTTGATACCGGGCCTCCCCCTTACCTCAGTCGGGTGCGGTTGACCCCCCCTCCCCCCCCCCCCCCCCCTCTCCCGCGCCGGGGGTCCCTCGCCTGTCTCTCCCACCCCCGTCGCGTGCGCCCAAAAAACAGAGGGACACACAAGAAAACTCGGCGACAGA